TAACAGCCCCCTAACTATGCTTAGGGGATCCCTTAAACTTAGGTGACGTTGGTGAAATCGGGCATGAGAATTACAGTGAAAAGCCCCTAAGAGCTAAAGCTTTGTTCAGACAGCGGGCTTGTTACTTCAATATACGGTAAGGGTAATATGGATCGTAGCTTATGCTCGTATCAGGACGGTTGTGTAAGTAAAGTATAACTTATGAGAAACTATTTTGTTTGTTTGTTTCTTGACGTTTCATGGACACAGCAGTGAGGGATGTGATAAAGAGCAATGTTACTCAAAAAACAATGCAAATCAGTGTTGTATCTATGAATTTTTTATTTGATCTTTAAATATACTTAAAATTAACTTGTTTTTCCTAAAATATACTTGAAATTAAATTGTTTTTTTATATTATCTCAATATTTGAGTAAGTACCTATTACAATATATTTCTTTGCAAGACTCGATTTTAAGTTTTTAAAAGATGAAATTATAGTAGTAGGTAAGTAAAAATAAATGAAAATTTTGTAAGACACCAGCTATGTTAATAATGCTTTAGAACCAAACGAATTTTACAGATAAGGCGAGTGTTGGAAATGTTTCCAAAATGGGGGTCGATTACCAGTGAATCATCAATTAAATATACCTCATTAAATTTTTCAAATTTGGTATGTGTTTTTCTGTTAATTTTGTCATAGTGTTTAAACATAAAAATAATATTAAGACTATACTACCTAGATAAAAAAGTTGTACTATCTACACTAATTCATAAAAATCTAAAATTGTAAGTTTGGATGTAATCATTGCCGGCTTTGGGGGGGCAGGGGGGAGTCAGGGGAAGTCATACATATATCTCTCACTAAATAATTCTACATACACGTTTTTTTTAATGGTAATGAAATAAGTATATCTAAAAGGGCGCCAAAGGCATGACCCGGGCCGCCGAGACGGCTAAGACCGGTCCTGGATGTAATCTCTAAAACTACTGATCTGATTCTGAAAATTCTTTCACTAATGGAAAGCTATATTAGCGCCCAGTGCGATAGGCTATTTTTTATTCCATTCAAAAAAATATAGTTATTCAGTGTGAAAAGGCATAAAAAGTTTACAGAATACAGAATACTAACCCTTGAATTACTTTGTCGGCATTCACTGCCTAAATAAAAGTAATCGTGTTAATCCCCCCACGAGCGCGGACACGCCGGCGTTGCAGTTAACATTAGATTTCTTAGAAATTTAATTATTTTCTTAGAAATTTACCTGGAGGTGTTAATTAAAAATAATTCGAACGTGAGAATATCAATATCAATTTACCAGAGATGCGATACCTGCTTCATTTGGTTTCTTAAACGAGAGAGTTACACGAGTTACCACTACCTTTTAAAGAGAAATTAGCTTAAAAAAATTAGCTTTGACTTAATTATCCTAAATCCTAGTAGGTATCTAATAATAATGCCCTCCCGACCGGTTTCTATTTCTTCGATCTCATTGAGAATAGCCATCTGCGTAAGAGATATTGTAATGCACAAGTGCACTCCCTATTCCTGTCACTCTCATACTCCGGTGGGACGACACGAAACAGGGCCGGTGAGAGTTGAGATGCAGGACATTGGGCCTTCAACAATGGACATCAACTTTTCATTACAAAATTTGGTAGATTAAATCATTAGAAATGCACGAGTAAAGCTCCCATGTGACAGAAATGACTAACTTATGAAATATGCTTTTTTTTTAATTTCTCTTAACTTTAATCCGATTTTTATGAAAATTACAAATAATTCAAAATTTATTCTAAAATTCCAAAATATATTATTCATTCAAATATTTAATTCAAATATCGTAAAAGATATTTCAATGTTGTTTAGACATAAAAACCGACTTCAAACAAAAGCACTAAAAAGTAAAAAATAACTGATTGGTAGTTTTCATTTACTATACATACCTAATCAAATATTTTCGAAGTCGGTGTGCTTTGCTTTGTATGGGCTGGCACCGATTTCGAAAATATTTGATTAGGTATGTACTTAATAGGTAGGCTTTAATTACTTAGCCAAAGCACACCGACTTCGAAAATATTTGATTAGGCATGTATAGTAAATGAAAACTACCAATCAGTTATTTGTTACTTTTCAACCGACTTCAAAAAGGAGGAGGTTCTCAATTCGACTGTATGTTTTTTTTTTTTTTTTTTTTTTTTTATGTTTGTTACCTCAGAACTCCGTCATTTATTAACCGATTTGGACAATTTTTGTTTTGTTTGAAAGGGTATACTTCCAAATTGGTCCCATTTAAATTTAAAAAAAAAATACCACCCCTAAGGGTGGAAAAACAACTAATGATGAATTTAACCTACTTCTAATTGTCATATTGACTTGAAACTTTGCAAGTATTTCTATTTCCGTTGATAGTACAGTGGTTCGGTGTTATTGACCTGATCTGATGGCAAGGCCAGAAGGTGGATAGGTGCAACTCTTCAACGACTAATAGTAGATACTTTGAGTTTGGGCTTATTTTGTTTGATTTAACAAGCCTAACATATTAGAATCCTTACTTTGCTACTACTGTCTACACTAAAAAGGGAAAAATAAAATCTTTTTAACAAAAAAATAAAAACCGACTTCAAACAAAAGCACTAAAAAGTAAAAAATAACTGATTGGTAGTTTTCATTTACTATACATACCTAATCAAATATTTTCGAAGTCGGTGTGCTTTGGCTAAGTAATTAAAGCCTACCTATTAAATACATACCTAATCAAATATTTTCGAAATCGGTGCCAGCCCATACAAAGCAAAGCACACCGACTTCGAAAATATTTGATTAGGTATGTATAGTAAATGAAAACTACCAATCAGTTATTTTTTACTTTTTAGTGCTTTTGTTTGAAGTCGGTTTTTATTTTTTTGTTAAAAAGATTTTATTAGTGCTTTTGTTTGAAGTCGGTTTTTATTTTTTTGTTAAAAAGTTTTTATTTTTCTCTTTTTTTTGTAGACAGTAATAGCAAAGTAAGAATTCTAACGTGTTAGGCTTGTCAAATCAAACAAAATAAGCCCAAACTCAAAGTATCTACTATTAGCCGTTGAAGAGTTCCGCCTATCCACCTTCTGGCCTTACCATCAGATCAGGTCAACAATACCGAACCACTGTACTATCAACGGAAATAGAAACTATTAGCTATTTTTCCCCCCTAGGGGTGGTATTTTTTTTTTTAAATGGGACCAATCTGGAAGTATACACTTTCAAACAACACAAAAATTGTCCAAATCGGTTAATAAATGACGGAGTTCTGAGGTAACAAACATAAAAAAAAATACAGTCGAATTGAGAACCTCCTCCTTTTTGAAGTCGGTTGAAAAAATATGTTAAGTTATCAATTATCCACGTATTTGTTCAATCAAGACAGATCTAACATCATTAATTTCGACATTATTGAGGAATATTTGATTCCAGTTTTCTTTTTTCTGGAAAAGTCCAGGTTTATTATACATTGATTTTTGCACAGGAAATACTTCAGTAATTCTTCTACAAATCTACACCTAAAAGTAACGAGTTGTAATTCCACAGACTAAGACATACAGTTAATACCTACTGTTGATATAATATATTAATTTTACAATAGGATGTAGTTATGCAAAATGGTAACAAAAATGGCACAAACACACACAAAAACCGTTTTTTGAGTTAGTCACAAATAGCACCTACATATCGACATATATATACAGAAAGTAGATAAAATACCCAATATTTAAGAGGAATTTAAAAAAAAACTAGGTACGATCTTATTATTTTGATATACCAATGTTACTAAAACTCCCATTTTTTTAAAAGCAAGTTTTTGTGGTTGAATCTATTTTGCATAAATACGTCCAATTATAGAAATTCAGGCGGGAACTGTTATTTTCAACAACATTGTTTTAAAAGAACAATATTTTATTAAATCTTTATATATATAATTCTTCTGTGAGTGTGTATGTCACTGAACTTCTCTCAAACGACTGGACCGATTTTGATGAAATTTTTTGTGTGTTCAAGGGGATCTGGGAATGGTTTGGATTCACAATTTGAATAATAATTTTCATCAAAAAATTATTAAAAAAAGTTTGAAATTTTCAAATTAAAGACGTGTAGACAGGACAACGTCTGTCGGGTCCGCTAGTATACATATAAAATTGAAAACGTTTCAAAAAAAACACTGGGTAGTCTATAAGCAATATTTAATATAACTTAAAAATATAATGATACACTTTGAGATTTTATTGTCATATAATTAGGCATCACTCAGACTTAGCACTGACAGTTCCAGATTTCAACTTTATGGATCTACCTACCTAAGAAATTATAATTATTTTTAATTAAAAATTGTACACTTCAAAATCACTTGGAAATACCCGTATTTTTTTATTTATGCGAGATTATTAAAAAAAAATAGAAAATCGATGAACAATTCGTCGCCTCAGTGCTTATTTGTCCAACAACCGATGCACCGAGAGAATTTGTAGTACAGAATTATTGACTTTTAAATGTAAATTCTATTGGTATTAAATACACATTTTTAATAAAGCTGAAAAAATGTCTTTTAGCTATATGTCGGAGGAGGATTTAGTAGAAATTAATTATAATAATTTAACAAGCGATAGTTACATTTTAACGGTTAGTATGAAATACAAATTTTTGAATTTCTCAGCTTTTCTGTACTATAATATGCATGTATTTTACATATAAACCTTCCTCTTGGCTCACTCTATTTATTGCTGAAAACTGCATTACAATCCATTCAGTACTTTAAAAGATCTAAGCGAACAGACAGCGAGGAGGTCCTATGACCGTCGTTGAAAAGTATTTGTTAGTACGGCAAGGCCATAAATTTAATATATTAAGTGATTAAAGTTGAGTAGGTAGGTGCTCAATTTTAACATTGGTCTAAAATGAAAGGTTTTTTACAATAAATACAGTATTATTTTTAAATATTATCAAATAATAAATGCGCTATGAACATCGAATAATAGATATAATATTAATTAAATTTACTCCGGTTATTCAATTTATCTTCTATCCTCATCTTAGATTCTTTCACTTTCATCAAAAGAGAAGCTTCTATTTGTTTTATCTGAAAATGAAAAAGCAAATATATTAAATACTTGAACAGTTATATTTTTATAAATAAATATTTAAAACAAAGAGATTTAAATTATCTATATGAGTAGTCCAATCATTGAAGATTCTTTCTGTTTGGTTTGTTTTTGTTAAAACAACCACAGGTAAAGAAGAAAATTATAATAGTTAATCCCACAAGAGGTTGTCCTGTCATGTCCTGTCCTTTGTAGATGTGCATGTGTATGAGTATGCGTGTATGCGTATGTGTATGCATGTGTGCGTATGCAAAACTTACACTATTGATAAAGTTATTTTTCAACTTGGTCAATTCTTCATAGCCTTCAATCTTCTCGCGTTCATACTTTGTGGTCAACTCTTTGATTTCCTGGATTGTTTGCTCAGCTTTTATAGAAATTTCTCGATCTTTCTTCTCTTTTTCTTCGGCTTCTCGAAGATTGCTGTAGAAGAAAAAAAAATAGATTTAATTTAAACGAATTTTAACTGAATTTAGATAAGATAAACTTCAGATTGAAATCTATATCGTTATAATAACAGAAGGATATAAATTGTCGTATTTCGCAAAATGTTTTATCGAAAACGACAAAATAAAAATAAGACAAAAAATTAAAATAAATACATAGCAAGTGTTGTAATTAGACTTGCAACAAATATTCGGCTACTATTCGATATTCGGCTACTATTCGATATTCGGCCTATTCGGCTACTTTTACCCTATTCGGCCGAATACCGAATATCCTAGACACTTTGGCCGAATACCGAATATCTAGACATTATGGGGCCGAATACTTAAGTAATATGTTTTGTTGTAAATCAGATAATAATTGCTTCTGAATTAAGCTTATATTATTAACTAGCGACTCACCCTTGCTTCGCTCGGGTTCGTCCGTAGGTACGTTTTAACAGTTAGTATGAAATACAAATTTGAATTTCTCGGCTTTTCTGTACTATAATATGCCTGTATTATACATAGAAACCTTCCTCTTGATGCAAGAGTCTTGAATCACTCTTATCTATTAAAAAAACCGCATTAAAATCCGTTGCGTAGTTTTAAAGATATAAGCATACATAGGGACAGACAGACAGCGGGAAGTGACTTTGTTTTATGCTATGTAGTGATTTTTAATGTAATTTCTTTTTTATTAAGAAAATAATTATTACAAAATGCAAAAACAGGTGGGAAATTCAAAAGTTGTTGAAACGCAACGCCATTGATCAAATCGAATATGACGTCAGAGTATATCATAACATTTCTGTGTATATGTATGACGTCACACCAAGCGCGCTAAATGGCGAAAGTATCCGCAACGGTATATATATATATATATATATATATATATATATATATATATATATATATACTAGCTGACCCGACAGACGTTGTCCTGTCTACACGTCTTTAATTTGAAAATTTCAAACTTTTTTTAATAAGCTAAAACATTCTGGACCATTTTGATGAAAATTATTATTCAATTGTGAATTTAAACCATTCTCAGATCCCCTTGAACACACACAAAAAATTTCTTCAAAATCGGTCCAGTCGTTTGAGAGAAGTTCAGTGACATACACACGCACAGAAGAATTATATATATAAAGATATATATATATATATATACCGTTTTTTTTGACTGCAAAAATCAATTTGCATTACACAATATTTTTTACAGATACTACAAGAAACAAAATTAATTTTGCAGTGGCTAAACTAACAAGACATGACTGAAATTATCCCTTATCTCAAAACACTTCTCCAAATGAAAAATATCTTGTGTCACCATGTGAAGTGTTCAAAAGGTCCGGAATCAAAAATCAAAATGAGAAAAAAATTATAGTTTTCCTTTAAATTCTATACCTTAGTGCCAGTGACTCTTCTTGCTGCCTCTTAGCATGGCTCTCCTGCCTCTTGGCACTGGCTTCAGCTCTCGCCGCCTTCAGCTCTGCCAACTGTGCCTCGAGTTCGCTCACTTCTGTGTTCAGCACATCCAGCTCTCCTTCTTTGCTATCCGAATCTAGATCACCATTCTCATAATCTCTGGAATATGGAATATTACTTGTTAGGATACATTACAATTAGTAAAAATATCAAATAAGTTACAGGACCAATTCAATTTAAATATTTTTATTGATGACATTATTAAACACTATTAAACAAAAAATATATTAAAATGAATATTTATTACTAATAATTTTATAAAAATTATTATATTTATATTTTGATTTGTTTTAATTTAATTGCAGTTGTAATAAAATTGTTGATCAGATCAATAAGCAAATACAAGATTAAAAAACAATTTAATGTGGACAGACCTTAGCACAATTTTATTATATGTATTCATAATTTTAACTCCTTACCTGATAGCTTCAGAATGCTTAATAATTTCATGTAACAAATTATTAGCTATATCCAAATTAGGTTTGATTGTTTGTAAGTTCTTTAAGCTGTTCTCTTTTTGCATGAGAGTATTGCGCAATGCATTTAACTTTTCTTCGGCCTCTTGGACATTTCTTGCAGCATTTTCCGCCTGAGCTCTTATATCGTCTGCATCATGAACCCTTAAAGCATTTTTTTTCTCAATTTCGGATAACAATGTGTCGTGTTGCCCTTTTTTTTGTTCTATAATGATCTCAGTTTGTTGATTTTCTTTTAAAATAGCTTCTAGTTCTACTTTTTCTTCATCATAAGCTTCCTTTTCTTGTTTTAGTTCTTCTTCAAATTGCTTTATATCACATTCCATCTGTAATATTATTTTATTGATAATAAAAATTTGATGCTTTTATGAGATTTATGAAAAACTTTGTTAGTTTGTGTTTTTTTCATGCTTTGGTTTCACCTAAGTATAAAGTGATACAGTTACATACATATAAAGCAAACATATATTAGACTTTGTAATATCTGTTCTAATCATATTAATAAGTAGTAGTACTATCCAGGCCTTTTGACGTCCCACTGCTGGGCACAGGCCTCCCTGCAATACAAGGGTGTTCAGGCCACAGTCCACCACGCTGGACAAGTGTGGGTTGGCTGACCAAATTAATAAATTAACAAATCCACTATGATCATATGCTCATCAGAAATCTTTGAAACCTTGAATATAGTTTTACTATTGAGTTACAAATAAATACATCAACAAAGTTATAATTTATTAGCGGCTCACCCTCGCTTCACTCGGTTCACTTCAAACAAAAACAATCTATCCCTTGGGAACCATATATTTTTCCTAGATAAAAAGTAGTCTTATTCCAGACTATAATCTATCTCTGTGCCAAATTTCATCCAGATCCGTTTAGCCGTTCTGATGTGAAAGAGTAACAAACATCCATACATACTAACAAACTTTCACATTTTATAATATTAATACGGATTATATTATCCTTATATTTATTTATTATAATAAATAAAAACAAATCTATCACACGGGAACCATACATTTTTCGGGGATAAAAAGTAGCCATGTACTATTCCAGACTATAATCTATATCTGTGCCAAATTTCATCTAGATCAGTTCAGACATTCTGGTCTGATTAAGTAACAAACATCTAAACTTTCACATTTATGATATTAGTATAGATATCTTTTTCATGATTATGCAAACCTTCTCTAATCTCTCAGCCCTCTTTCCTTTTTCTTCAGCTTGTTCATTAAGCATTTCCAGTAGATGATTTTTTCTGTTTTCCAATGTTTTAACCTGTAAAATAAAATTAGAAATATTATTTACATTAAATGTTTGATTTCTTTAACCTTATATAATTTGTTAGTATAGATCCACTTTGTAAAATATTTAAAATAATCAAAATTTTATATTTCAAATCATAAAATAATTCAAATAATTAATTATTAGAAATTATATATGTTGAAGAAGGATGTAAAATTATTAATATAACTTTTTTTATGTATGTTTATACATTCTACTATATTCATTTAAAAATAAACAAACCTGTTCAGTTTTCGAAAATAGTTCCTCTTCATATGGAGCAATGTTTCTTAACCTATCTTCATTGAACAACATTAGATTAAATAATAAGATTAATGTTGAACGAGATATGGAGACTGTAGGTTGTAAGAAATGAGTTATGTATGTAGTGTCTACATGTGGCATCACAGACACTAGATGATTTATAACCCTAGTCGTATTGATAACAGGTAGTAAATCCCAGTAGTAAATTGTGTTCTCATTGCGAGTTTCTTCTGGTGGTGGCTGTTGATATGAGATAATATTTTTAAAATAATTCAATCATGTCTCTTACAAACAATGAAAAACAAAAAAATAAAATCTGTTTATGTAAATAATATTATATACAAAAAAAATACCGCAATCAAAGCCTCCATATCAATAGAAAGTCTTTCAAAAACTTGAAAAAGAGCTCCCATCACTGTATGAGGATTTTTTAAATCTGGTGTTGTTAGCAGGTAATTTGGGAAGCTTCCATTCCAGCTATCTATAAAGTTCTCCACAGTAAATGCTGCTGCTATAAAATAAAATTTACATTACAGCATTAATATCTCTCAATCATCATAACGCCATGAACAATACTTATACATGACCTTTTAGTGTAATGAATAAAAGAAAAATTACGAACAAAATTGAAAATTCAGATCAATTTACTTTATATTACTAAATAAAACAGAACTTCGACATCAAACAAAAATATACAAGAATCGTCTTCTTACATCCATCCATTGTTTGTTAAATTATTAGTTATTTTCACTAAATTGTAGTTGAAAATCCAATAAGCAAGAAATAAATATTGTTTGTAAATAAAAATGGACACAAGAAATTCCAATAGCCGCTCTCGCTAGTCTTAGTCGTTAGCAAAGATTTGAATTTTGAAATTTAATTTTTAAATATGACAGCAGACGATATTACTCAGTGTTGCCAACAACTGAAATTTTATCCCCATACGAGCAATATCAAAAACCCCTATATCCCCTTAACTGGCAATAGGCTATTTGAAAGTTTGAAAAATAATGTTTTATTTTTTGACATCCGCATAGGGCATGGGTTTTAAATGCGATTTATATAATTAGGTGAAAAAAATATGTTATTATCTGTGTAATAAATCCTTTTAAAACTTAATTTATTTTTATCTACTATCAAGTGATTGAAAACGATCTGGATTGGCTGACCGTATAATGACGTCACAGGCTAGCAAGCTATCAAACACTATCAAATAACATGTCTGTCAATGAGCATCGACAGCCTGTCATTGCCAATATACTCTATGGTCATTGCCGTTTCATCGTCGTTTTTGCTGGTGTCTTAATAGTAATTAGTTACTAGCAATTTTATCTCATTATTTTTGTATATATTGTGTTGTCTGTTGTAGGTCATGATTTTACAACAAATCGCTCTGTTTTTACACGTAATCAGATTAGTGTTTTTTTACCGGTCATTTTATATATAACGTGCATTCTCCATTCTACGCGATATTGGCGAAGTAAATTGTGCCCAAAAGCACTCCTGGAAGCCACAAACCTGAAGAATTGAATTGAATAGCAATTAGTAGTATTTGTGCACCCTGGCACTACACCCCATTTATACGTTTTCTTTATTGGATATAAGGCTTAATAACAAAAATGAACCCTAACTCTACTTGGGTTGTGTCGAATGATTGTTTATAGCTCCTTGTGACGTCACTGACGCCATATTGCGCAAAAAAGTGTTTCAACGGCCTATTTGAATTGTACTTTTTTAATTGCTATTTTTTGATAAAATACTTATAAGTATTAAAAATAAACACTTTTTGTAAGCTCAGTAAGCACCAGTTAATAATTTAAAAAGTTTCTAGAAACTTTTTTTTTAGATTTTTTTTAGAATCTCACCTATCCTAATTATATAAAACATAAATTGAATTTCATAAATAGTACCGATCACCTACAGAAGTCAGAAGTTTTACTCCTTGTGCGTCTACACATTCATACAAGCACTCTTTAATTTTTTATTTTTCATGATTATAAGTATTGTAAAAAAAACTTATTTATGGTTTTTAGCATAATTTATAACCGTTTAATAATAAATAAATTTCATAGATAACAAACTTAATACAAAATAATAATAATAATCACATTATTTAAAGATACATGATTTTTTCAGCTCATTAAATAAAACTTTATAAGCCACCTAAAAAACCATTTCCCCCCAACAACATTCCCCTTCCCTAAAAACCTCCGGTACAATTTTTTTTCCCCTAAATTTGGGGGAAAGGCCCTAAGTTGGCTACACTGAATTATTTCAAACTTCTTTCTATTGCTCTAAGATGTTCCTAATAATTATATTATAATATATTGAATACATTTTATTCTTAATATTATTATAGTAATTTAAATATATATATAAATTATTATATTACTAATAAAAAATCTATAAAGGAACGTGGAAATAGTAAATGTTGACTTATTGTCATACGAAACGAAAGCAACCACAGATTATAGACTACAAAAGTGACTGTTCACTGATGGGTCACTGTGCAAACGTCATCGTTGTAGTCTCCTTAATCTGTGGTCATCGTTACTTCATTGCCGATCGAGTTTCGAGACTTGCAAGTTTACAATCAAACGCGGAAGCAGTTTGCTTTTTGTTTTGTTGCTTTTCAAAGTTATATTTTAAATGGCATGCTAGTTACAAAAATCAAAAATGCGGATAACTAATGTAAGACGTGGTAGAATAATTCGTATGGCAGGAATAAGTGCTGTTGTGATAGTTTTAATATATGCTTTACATAGTTATTCTCAAGCAAACCTCGGCAATGATTCAAATGAAATTGTTTTATCAGAAGATCAACCTAAATATTATAAGTTTCACAGAGATGTCTACCCTACATTAAAAACGGGTATGTTGTTACAAATTATCAATAAGTGGTATTTTGTTAATACTAGTAGGTACTAACTAGTATGGGTACAGTTATGTGCCGCGGTGAGGTGACCGGCGTGTGTATATGATTTTATCACCTACATGCAACGTAAACATTCTATGATTGAATTGGGAATAAAATCGTTTATTTCTATTATTTTTCTAATGTTCTGCTATTTTTTTCTGTAGTTAAACTTTATTTGAATTCAAAAGAAAACATTTTATAGTATAAAAGTTCGAGAAACATATTTAAAAAAAATGTGCTACATTATACGTTATTATATTCTAAGTAATCACAGCAGTGACGTAATTTAGATTTTTATCTTATTTTTAATTTAATGGTACATACACTACTGATTGAATAATGATGTACATACCATTTTCTGATATGGACATATTTATCATATAGCCTTAGTTTGTAAGTACACTACTAATACCTTTAAATAAGATAATTTATCAGTTTCATGAAAATTTGACATGTTACAAACTAATTTTTATGAATAAAATAGTTGAGATTATTTTTAAAAATATCATTGGACATTTTTACATATATTATAGCTTATTTATTGTAATTCTTATAAGAACAGTTCCATTCTTTTCTTCTTGAATAAATAAATGAGTTTTGATTGCACTTGAATACTTTAAATTTGCATTAAATTATAATATTTATACTAATAATAGAGCTGAAGAGTGTTTGGTTGAATGCACTAATCCGATTTGAAAAATCCTTTTTGCATTAGATTAATAACATAATTGAGGAAGGCTATGGGCTATATGTAATCCCGGAAAAATGTATGGTTCCCGTGGGATAGATTTGTTTTTGTCTAGGGACGAACCCAAAGCAAAGCGAGGGTGAGTCGCTAGTTATGAAATATATGTAAAGTTATAATAATTTTGTATAGGAAGCAACATAATTTGGGTGTCAATACAAATACACCTAACAAAGCTAGGGCTGCTCTATGATATAATGAAAAATCAATACAGCACTCGTATTACTCTCAAATATTAACATTGATGTTTATAAAATTAACAATACATTATAATGCTTATAGATGACATAACATGTATACAAATATAGTAGCAATAATAAAGAATACTCTTTATAAATCTATACTAATATTATAAAGAGGTAAAGTTTGTGAGTTTGTGACATTATAGGGGGTAATCTCTGGATCTACTGAACCGATTTAGATGAAATTTGGTAAGAAGATAGTTTGAGATCCTGGGAAGGACATAGGATAGTTTTTATCCCAGAAACCATTCCTTATGGAATCACTTCTTACTCCTATACAATCTTTCATCCCCATTCTCATGAAGTTTGTATGGGGAACTCAGGGGAAGCAAGCTAGGGACGAACCCGAGCGAAGCTTGGGTGAGTCGCTAGTATTTCAAAAACAAGGTATATTAACATTTTATATACAAAAGTATAGAACAGGTGCTTTATATATCAAAGTTAAAACAGCAACTCTTTCGATGGTGTGTGGTTTTACCACTTTAAAAATTAAAGGAAGAAACATATTTATTATTTTTCATATCTCATATTATAGTTACATTAAATTAAGGAGTGTAATTTATTTTACCTTTAATCTTTCAACTTATTTTCGATTTTTCTATTTAGTCTTCTTTCAATTCAGACTTAGGGTTGATTGTTATATGGCTTATTAATACCCCCCCTTGTCATGTTGGTGGGGTTCATTAGCGTCTGGCAGTTCACTCAGGGAAGTTGCCCACTTCGATCGTGGGTGGTGTACTATGTGGGTTGCTCTTGTTACTTCTCTGACAACAGAATGGAGTGTTGGAACAATCCGATGATTGTTGTGGCCTGCTACGGCAAACCTTCCGTGGCGTCGTGGTTGAGTGCGTAAGCTATTATGCGAGGCCTATTAGGAACGGAGGAGGTTCCGTTGGGTTTTAGTGGGTAGTACTGGTTTTGCCGCTGAGTCCCACACCTCGTGCCTAAATGCATTTCCTAACGTTTTATCAATATTAAACACTTTAAGTTATCAAAAAACAATACATATTGTATTAAAAATGAAATAAATCTAAAATAATATATAATTTACAATAAACAATGTGTCAATCCAATCATGCTATATAGAGTCTAGTTACCAATGCATTAATGAAATAAAACATTAATTTTTTACAGAACTAGGTAATTTTGAACCTAAGTCAAGAAAATCAGTGAAAGGGCCCGGAGAGGAGGGCTTAGCCTACCACATGCCTCAAGACCGGGCCAATGACATTGCTGAGTCAGAGAGTGAATATGGAATGAATATTGCAGCGTCTGATGATATTGCTATGAACAGGTAACATTCTTTATTAAATCAATTAGACATCACTGATGATTTACCATAATCATAATTTTTTGTAAATTTGGTATGATGATAGCTGGTTATCCGGGTCAACATATAGGATACTTTTTACTGCGGGAAAATATCTCATCTCTGAGAAATCTATACTAAACGTTAAAACGTAACCGACGAACCCGAGCGGAGAGGGTGAGTCGCTAGTAAATAGTATAAAATTAAAATTTAAAAAATGTTGAATTATATTTAAAAAATATTGTATACAGTTTAGTATAAGAACTGTAACAGGTAGAAGTTGCCTACTGACTCTTTTCACAGAAACTGCATTATACTTTCTTAGCTTTATGCGGATATTTGACATTTTAAATAAAATTATCTTTTTGGAAATTTTTTGATTTTTGGTTCCCGACGTTTCGAATGCATTACAACATTCATGGTCACGGGAGAGACTGATTGGCACAAAAAGATAGTTTTATTTAGAAACTGCATTCCAATACATTGTTTATTGGAAGTTTCCACACAGTTTTTAGTTTCAAGTTATAACTGCAAAGTACCACAAGGAAATTTGCTAACCATTAATATACTTCTTATTTAGTACAGTTTATTTTTCCAGATCCATACCAGATACTCGGTTAGATGAATGCAAATACTGGCACTATCCCAAGGACTTGCCCAGTACGTCAGTCATCATTGTGTTTCACAACGAAGGCTTTTCAGTACTCATGCGTACTGTCCACACAGTTATTGATAGATCCCCACCTAACATACTACATGAAATTGTTTTGGTAAGCAAAGAAAATATATTTTTTCTTCTATATTGTATCTAGTGGAATAAGTAAGTAGGTAGACGTTTCCCTGAAACAGACGTTTTTTGGTTGGAAAATTAAACAATAAACTGGATCTCGACAACAGCTACACTTAAAGGGTCCAACTATGACTATAATTCAGAACCATCCATCAAAATTCATCAAAACCGGTCAAGCTGTTTAGGAGAAGTAGAATTATGAATACACGCATGCTAGAATTTTATATATATATAGATGAACTCAGCCTTTTTTTAACTTCTCACTGCTGGGCACGGGCCTCCCTTCATTATGAGGCGGATCAAGCCATAGTCTACCACGTTGGCAAAATGTGGGCGGACTCGGCATGTCTTTCGAAAACTAGATAAGTTCTCTCAGACATGCAGGTTCCCTCACGATGTTTCCCTTAACCACAAGACAAGTAGTAATCATGTTGGAAATGATATATAAAGATGGTTGATTGATTTTAAAATATAAAAATAAATTGAATTAAACTTAGAATAAAGGAATATTACAATACTAGCGTTTTCCTGCGGCTCCGCCCGCATAGTACATTAATCACCAATTATCATATACTAAAACCTTCTCCGAAACACGCTGCATCTTATAGTATGAGTATTATTCCGATCGGTTCAGTAGTTATCGCAGTATTATCGAACAAAAAAATCAGCTCTCCATTTATTAGTATAGATTGGTAAGTAGTTATGTTTGCAATTATAGACTCATTAGATCCACACGCGAACCAAACTATAGGAGATTGTTTGTTATGAAACATAATTTTTAAGAAAGCTGAATATAATAAAAAATGTCTTAAACGAGTTATTTTCTTTCAATAATAAAGAACATATTGTAATGTCCATTACTAATGGAACTAGTTGTTATTGCATAAACTGTACATTTTACTTCGTAATTTGAAATGTATGTTATGAATACATATGTATTAGTTATATAAATTTATTTATACCATACTAGCGACTCACCTAGGTTGCTTCCCCATACACACTTTCATCCCCAATTTTACCTCCTTAAGGGATGACTTCCGGCATAAAATCTATCCTATGTCCTTTCCAGGGTCTTAAGCTATCTTACCAAATCTCATCTAAATCTGTTGAGTAGTTTCGGAGCTTCTTAGGTACAAACAAACAAAAAAATATTTCATCTTTATAATATTAGTATAGACTTAACGCAACACATTATTTATTAAAATAGCCATATATTACAGGTTGACGATTTCTCCGATAAAGATAATCTAAAAGAAAATTTAGATAATTATATTAAAAGATGGCACGGTAAAGTGAGGCTTATTAGGAACTCTGAAAGAGAGGGTCTAATTCGTACTCGATCCAGAGGTGCTAAGGAGGCTACAGGAGACGTGATCGTATTTTTAGATGCCCATTGCGAGGTCAATATTAACTGGCTTCCTCCCCTACTCGCCCCTATTTATAGGGACTATAGAACCATGACAGTACCAGTCATAGATGGCATCGACCATCGGACCTTCGAGTACCGACCAGTTTACCAACACGGCACGAACTACAGAGGGATTTTCGAATGGGGAATGTTATACAAAGAAAATGAGGTCCCAATAAGAGAAAGCAGCTTGCACAAACACAAATCAGAACCCTACAAAAGTCCAACGCACGCTGGTGGTCTATTCGCAATTAATAGACGGTATTTCCTAGAAATTGGGGCGTATGACCCTGGTCTTTTAGTTTGGGGAGGGGAAAACTTTGAGCTCAGTTTCAAGATTTGGCAGTGTGGTGGGAGTATAGAGTGGGTACCCTGTTCGAGGGTCGGCCACGTGTACCGCGCGTTTATGCCGTATTCTTTCGGTAATCTGGCCAAAAATCGCAAGGGTTCCCTTATAACGATTAATTATAAGCGTGTAATAGAAACTTGGTTTGATGAGGAACATAAGGAGTTCTTCTATACAAGAGAGCCCATGGCTAGGTTTTTGGATATGGGCGATATAAGTGAACAAGTCAAGTTGAAGGAAGATTTGAAATGTAAGAGCTTTGGTTGGTTCATGGAAAATGTGGCCTATGATGTGTATGACAAGTTCCCCAAACTGCCCAAGAACGTTCACTGGGGCATGGTGAAGAATAAGGCGTCAGGACTCTGTTTGGACACTATGGGGAAAGCTGCCCCGTCCTACTTGGGTGAGTTTTTATTGATCTTAGTAATAATATATGATCATGTTTTTTCATATTTAAATTGTGTATTTTATTTTAAAATTTAATAAGTACTGACAATCTGTTTTTTTTTCATAAAGTTATGCAGTAAAATTTAAAGTATTGTAGATTATTTTTATAAATGTAAAAGTTTGTGTGTTGTGTGTATGTGCGTGCGTGCGTGCGTGTACTTTTTGATGTTGAAACGGCTAGACGGATTGGGATGACAGCTTGTAAAGATTAGACTAACACTAGACCCGGTGGCATATTTAGCAGCTAATTCTACATGAATAAACTACGGGAGTGGTTAGACGATAGTATTAATATTTTATACGTAAATATATAGACTAGGGACTTATTTTTATTTAGCTCGGTTAAGTTCCCAGGGGCCTAACAATAGCCGATAAAATACCTTAACAGCCATTTTTTCCTACCTCAATTGGAGTGATTATAATTTCTGACAGTAACACACATTTTTATCGGAGTAAAATAAATAAAATAGCCCATATAGTACTTGGTTTGAAAATTGAAAGAATTTTCAGAGTCCAATCAGTCGTTCCAGAGATTACCTCCAACACACAAACTTATAAACTTTTCCGTTTATAATATCAGTGTAGATTATTTATTTATCTATAACTATAACAGGCACGTCGACGTGCCACGGCGCGGGCAACAACCAGCTGTTCCGGCTGAACGAGGCGGGGCAGCTGGGCGTGGGCGAGCGCTGCGTGGAGGCCGACACCGACAGCGTCAGGCACGCCATCTGCCGCCTCGGCACCGTCGACGGGCCCTGGAGGTGACCACTCTTTTATTTTTCAGCAATTAGGGTCCCACTGCTGGGCAAAGGTCTCTCTCGTCTTCCACTCTGCTCTCTTTCTAATATTGGTTGTTATTTGTGGTTTCTGTTTAAACGTGTTTATTAACTAACATTTTATTTATGTATGTGTGCAATGTAATCAAATCAGTTGGATACCGACAGCGTTAAGCACTCTACCTGCCAGCTGGGCATTGTGGACTGGCCTTGAGAGGTTTTGGCATATTTCATTTGAAACAGAAAAGAATATTAATCATATTTTTTTTTTATTTAATTTTTATTGCACACAATATAAATATAAAAAGGTACAATTATTGTTTCTATTTTACATAAAGCGTGCAAAGGCGGTGTTATTGCTAAAATCAATCTCGGCCAGACAACCTTTGGTGAAAGGATTTAAAATACGAAAACGGGACGGTGCCATCAAAATACGGATTAAATTATTAATGGTATAATGAAGAAAAATAAGATATACTTACTCATAAACAAGTACAATATATACATATAATATAATACACAAATAATTTGGTTCTACATTATATACTAATTATTAAATTATATTTTAAAATTATATATTAATAATATATAATTTTAGAATTATATATTAATAATAATTTGTTAATTTTGTGCTAAAAATAAATAAAATATCTACCGATAGGTGGCGCTTGCGTGGTAATTTTGCGTCGCTTACGTCTACCAAATTAGCTACACAATTATTTGACATATTATAAAGTATTTATCCTGACTGATTCATCAACACCCAAACTAAATAGCCAGAATTGGAATGCTGATATTTTAATAGCGAATTACTTTGCAATGCTGATACCCCAGACTTATTTGATTGAATCTACAAGGATGTAAAATCAGAGCAAAAATTTTTCGGACGAAAATTCGTAACACTTTTTATTCCAATGCGATTCTCTAACTTCATCATCTGCAGCATATTATGTTAGCATATAAATAGATAACCTATAAAATATAAAATATATGGACGTACTAAATCTAAACGCAGGCGGAATCGCGATCAGTGACTAGTCATATAATATTTCGTAAATTAATGTATATTTCAACGTAACTTTTTAAATTTTCGCGTTCCATAATTATATAATAAGTACCTGGGCGACCAAGCTTCGTTCGGAGGTTTGACTAAAAGTACAATTTTAAACAAAAAAACAAAAGTAAAACTTTGTATCCGACCGGGATTCGAACCCGTACACTTAGGGTTGTCAATCTTGCGCCTTGGCCGCTTGACCACGATGCTTATGCCATAGGGTGCGAAATTAGCGACCATATTTTGCGTGGAATAATGAGAAAAAAAACCGCATGAAAATTAAAAAACACACGTTTTCCCATACGTAAGACTCTATCTAGATCGATTTTTCGCCCCCGAGAACGCCCACATACCAAATTTCAGTGAAATCCTTAGAGCCGTTTCCGAGATCGCCGGTATAAATAAATATACGAGAATTTCTGGTTTAAATTTATTAGATAGATTACACTACAGGACTTAAACGCAGAATTTGTTAGTGGCTATATTACCTTATTCCTGACTTTTCGACTGGGTTGCACCAGCCGTGGTCACGGGCACACTGCCACCACTAACGAATTCACAATAATTATTATTTATATTACAACAGTCTTTATAAATTTCCAGGTATGACGATGGACACAGTCATCTAATACACCGTTTACACGGTTATTGTCTCACTCTCCAGCCCAACACGCGGCAACTCGGGCTGGCGCCGTGCGACCCCAACAATACATTCCAACAATGGACGATAACACATAAAAAACCTAACTGGTGATAAAAAAAACAACATAAAAATGAAATAAATAACTTAATTGGTATCAACTTGTCAAACCAATTCTGTATGAAAATATTCTTATGATGAAAAAAGCGCGAAAATATTTTTTTAATGATAACATAGCAAAGGCCTTACTATATTAGGATTTTAATAATTTTTTTTTAATTATAGCTGGTTTGATGTAGTTCTGTTCAAATTATTATAACTTAATTTTATATACTGCCGTCTTAACAGCATAGATTTTATTGTACATACTTATATAAATTTTATGGGATAAAAATAATATTATGAAATAAAAGATGTGAGAAATTAAATTATTATAAATGTAAACGACTGGAATTGAGCGCTCATCGCTTGAATTAATCAAGATATATAACAAAGAAGTGTGTTTCTATACTTTAGTAGAAAATAGAAATTGTTTTAATTATAATAACATGCATTAAATTCTTATGATAATCATATTTTTTTGCGAAAAATCCATGACGATGCATTTTGTTTTTATTTCGTTGAAAGTCGCCGCGATGCGACTTAAATTTTCTATTTCAGAGCAATACTCAATTAATAAATCCTCAATATAATTCTAATCGACTTGGCGGGGAACTGCTGAGCCCCCAGGTTGTACTCTCAGTTGATAATTAGTTTTTTCAATTATTTTTTTTTATACCGCCAACACTCATTGCAGATTCTAACCTACAGAATTATTCAATACTAGCGACTCATCCTTGCTCCACTCGGGTAAGTCCCTAGGTACGTTTTATCGGTTAGTATAGATTTCTCAGAGATGAGATATTTTCCCGCAGTAAAAAAGTATGAAGTATATGTATAGATTCAAATGATTTTCTTCAAAAACGGATTTAGGATAGGGCAACCAGGGTAGTCCTAAAAACGTCCAAGATAGAAACTTCTAGGTATTCAAAATTATTGAACACATTTTTATAGTTCCGAAAATTCGGTAAACTAAAAAAATTAAAGTCAAAAGTTCGTCTATGTCATTCTTCTTCTTCTCCCTGCCCATTTCCCAAATCACTTGGGGTCGACGCAGCACATCTTCTGTACTGCTGATAGGATTTGGCAAAAGTTTTACGACCGGCCGCCTGCCTGACGTCAACCCTCCTTGGGAATGCTATTGTCTTTCTTTGTCCGAATGGTGTTAAATATTATGCACTTTCGATTTTGTTGTGTTTTAAAACATTTTTTATACTATTAATTCAATTATTAATGTTATTTTAGGGTATATTTTAAAATAAATTTCGATTACACAATAAATTTTGTATTGACGTTGTCAAATTTTTTCTTCTAAATAAAAAAGTAATAAGTTCGTCTATGTCATTGCAATACTATTAAAGGTCTCAACTCTAATTACTTCGGGACTCTACATTTCTTAATACGTTTCTGGTTTTCTTAACACCACCAATACAAAGACCAATATTAAAATTAGCCTAAAGCCATAATAAAAGGTACATCTAATCTTATATTCAAATTGTATTATTCAACTTTGTCAACATATCAATTTTTATTTGATAAACTCCTTTTTAGATTACTTAGTATTTTCATTGATTTTCGTTGAATATTTCTGTTATAGAACTTTCTTCTTCTTTCCTAGAAATTACATTAAAATTTTAGATAAATGCAAAATCCTTATTGTCTTTTTATAAAAAAAATATTTTGATGTGAAACATCTAATGAGGCGGTCAGATTGTAGGCGTGGCGACGCGTCGCCATACGCCCGTAACTCTCAGACTCTTCCCACTCTGTTCTATCTCTCACCATGCCGAGCTCGTATTTTAATTTTTTATATTGGTATTAAATTAATATGTATTATTAAAATGGAAGATTTTTTTCTTTTAAAAATCTGAATATTTCATTTTTAATTATGCCATATTTACTGCCTTTAAAATACCATCCTGTCATGCATATTTTCTATATAAAATAGTTTCGACGTTACACATCTGCCAAGCGTTCCGCGACGGATTTAATTATTTTTTTATGAAACAGCAAACTGCAATGAATGCTTGCTCTTTATATATAGATAAATGGTTGCTTTATCTGTACTTAAGAAAATTCCTACTAAATGAAATTATATAGAATCTCTTTTTTATTACAAATAGACAGTGTATATCCTCCCTAAAGACATACTCGTATGTATATATTCCTCTTTATAAAAAGACAAAATTTTGTTTTTATTCAATAGTATTACTTACTAATAATTTATATTATGAATTTTAACTATCTTCCGCCCAATAAGTTAACATTAAATACGATATTTAATATTTTATATTTTGTTAAATAATTATTTTGTTTCTTAAAAGTAACTAATACATTGTATAGACAAGTAGATGAGGTACTTAGATTTTTGGCAAAAGACTAAAATAATATTAAAATTATATTTAATAATCAAGTATTCATCTAGCTTTAAGGAAAAAAAATGGTTTAAAGTAAAAAAAAAACAGATAATCTAATTTGCAGATTATGTGATGTAAAATATATACATACAATATATGTCCAGTATTTTGTCATGTATAAAAAAATAGGACAATTCATCACAAACTTTATAAATTTTAATAACAAATCTTATATTTTCAAACTTTTATATACAAATTGTATAAATCAAATTTCTTTACTTCTTAGCACCTAGTCTCGACAAAAGCTAAAACTTTAAATAAAAAAGACAGAAAAATATGTGAGTTAATTCTAAGTAATGTCACAAATGTGTGTAAAAAAGGAATAAACAGATTTTTTTAAATTTATATTTAAAAAAACCGTTATTTAAAAAAAATTACCGTTATTTTAGAAAAGCCTGAAACCATGGCTAAGGTTATTCATTAACCTACGAATAAATAATAATATACTTTTAGTAGGTCATACATATCTTATGATTTAATATGTTATTTTTATGTAATAATAATAAATTTTATATAGCTATATTTATTTTTGTTGTTTTTTTTTATGAATCGTTTATTTTATTTAAACATAACTTAAGGGACTGAAAATTTTCGTCTTATTGTTTACTCAAACTTAATTTTAAATATTGACATTTGACACATAAATACTTGGAGTTTGGATTCACATTACACTCTTTCCAACAAAAATTATAAAAGTTTTATGTTTGAGCGTTTTTGCAGATAATAAGTTATTTTGTAAGTGAAGGTTTGGTAAAAATTGATAAAGCTAGTTATGTTTGGTCTATGATGATTTGTATCTTTATTATTTCACTACAGCATTTTTTTCTAAGGTTAAAAGTAGCGTGTCTTTCTTGCCTACTACCGTTCTGGAGATTAAGGGTTACAAACAGACAGACAAATAAAATCTTTTATTATAAATAGTTATTTGGGCTTTGGTCCTGCGCAAATAACCAGAAGAGCGCAATATGCGATTGGTTTAAGTAATTATATAGATTAAATATTTTTTAAACCAAACTCTTGGTTACTTTATTTGAGACACATTTATTGTATATGTAATCTTTTGCAAACTAAAAATATATAATTTGTTTAGCACTTATTCTATTGTATTAAGTGTTTATTTAAAAAAGAAACTTAAAATAAACATTAGGTTCTAAAAATTTACACAATCAAAAAAGTACACGCATCAAAAAGTATACACAATCAGCGACAAAAAATATCCCCTCCGATTGAACGCTCATTTGAACATTTGAGCGCGCTTTTAATTTTTTTTTTGTGAAAAAACTCAAAGCATTGCATTTACGGCTAAATTTACATTGTTGTATTTTATTTCAACTAGAATAATTACCTAAATACAATTGGTGACAGTTTTAAGAGAATTTTTGCATGGGATTGTGTATCTAGTACTTTTTTGATCACTGTAATTATATAAAAAAATTGTAAATCTTGAAATAATTGTTAGAGATTTGTATGTAAATATTTCAGCACTTTCCTAAACCATAGAAAAAATTACAAAACCGCAAATAGGTGACTTCTGTCAAAGAATTTTAATTTATATACAAGTCTTGATTTTGTTTCGATATTGAAACTTTGGGTTGGTGTGAATATTAAATTCAAATTTGATACTATAGATTAATAAGCCCATAAATGTATATATATTTATACTGGAAATCGCGACATTGCTCTATGTATTTTCTTTTGAAATAAATATTTATTGTTAAGTACTACATCTATAATTTAAAACCAATAGTGTTTAAGATATGCATTTCCATATAATTATTATTTAGTGTAAATAATGAAGTCTAAGTCTACAATACTTTTGTCAGCTGTAAATTTACCTAACATTGCCTTTCCCTTCTAATATTCCCTTCTAATAAAATAAATAGTTACTTTAGCCAGGAATCGAATGCGTGTTCTGACACTATATCTACATAAAAATCTATTTGTAAACTTTTTTAGAAAAGAGGACTAACTGGATCGCCTTGAAATAAAATAAATTTTCTACAAAACTCTTTTATTTATAAATAGTATTTAATAAAAGCAATCTATATTTTGTTAACTACGCAGTTACAGTTATATGTGTATTGTGTATACATACAATTTATTATAATGCAGCAAACTGATATACTAACTATGAATTTATAATTTATCAAAAACAAGAAGCAGTGATCATAACAAGATTTTAGAGAAACGTTTTTATCCATATAAGTTACAAAAGCAAGGATTTTTAAATTAGTACTTTTATCTGTTTTTTTTTTAAATTCAAAGTGCATTTCGCGCGCAAACAATTCTCAGTCGCTTAAACGTTATTGATTATTTATATGTAAATAAGGATATTAAATCCAAAAGTAAAGTAGGCATAATTTTTATAATGGCGTTTTTGCCCACCACTCGTCCCAACTGCGCACTCGCTGAGATTCCTCCATGACCGACCAGTTAGGCGATGGCACGTCCGGGGCCAGCCAGTTGAAATCGTCCAAGCAATCCCAGTTATTGTTATTCCTATCTAACGACGACATATTGAAATGCTTATCTAAGTCTTCGTAATATAGGTTGTATGGAGCAGTTCGGATATCGGAGCAATCTTCCACTATGCCTTTGCTCGTTACATGCAGGTAAATATCGCATTTTGTGGAACTGTGCATCCTGAGCTGTTGACAGGCGGTGACTATTTTGCAATTTGTGCACTTTTCTACGAACACTGACGATGTCACAGGACCAGAAAGCACTATGCAATTGTCCAAGTTGGTCAGATGCAGAGTCCCCATAACACCTTGTAAGCCTATAGTACAATTCTTCAAGTGCCTTAAAGCGACATCACGTTGGAACAGATCTTCATTTCCCAAAGACAACACTTCATCCTCCTTCAAATCGAAACCAAACAGCTTCTCATCCCATTTATTATCTTTTTTACCGACACCGTCATTTTCGTCCACCGAATTTTGTTTTAGATTGTGGGATTTGGGCAATTTCTTTCTTGTGAATCCGAACTTCTTACGCGGCACATATCTGTCTTCCAGTTCGTAGCATTTTGTTTGTAAATTCTGTACGATACCTAAATACTTTCTCATGTTGAACTCTTTCAGGAAAAAGGAAGAAGTGACCACGAATTTTTGTAAGTCATTGACTTCACGTTTGATATCGTCGAAGTGTGGTGGCAAGACATTGGTCTCTAGCGTCGGTACTTGAGATAGCAATTGCTCGATCGCTTCCGATCTTATTTTGAACGCTCCTGCAAAATAATCTTCATTTTCATTTGTGGCATCTACTTCTACTCTTGCTTTGTGTGCTTTTTGTAACTTTTCTAATCGTTGAGCATCCCTTTTGCTCAGCCTCTCTAAAATAGTGCTTTTGTCACTCATTTTCCTTTCTTAAGTAACTCTTCAACCTTTTTACTTATATCTGAATTGGGATCAGCTGCTTCCTTTAATATGGCCACAGTTTGACTTGCTACTTTTCTAGCATCTGTAAATCTAAATTCTTCATCATACTGAAAAGAACAGAAAAATTTAAAATATTGGTCATAGATTAAATAATTAAAATAGGTTATCTAGGTTGCCAGGTTCAAAAATTTGAGATTTTTACACAAGTGTATATGTATTTCAGAAACCACATTTTATGTCTCTCATCATCTATGTATACATTATTATAATAAAATTGTAACTAAGCCGAATCTGTACATTAAATATTTTTTGGAAAATCTTATTGAAATAAACATTATTATTGATACAGAGGCCGAATCTATAGTTTGTAGAATTTTCTACAATGTCTATCATGGCATCGAGTAAACCACTGGAGGGATTTTGATGAAATTTGGTATGGTGATAGCTGGTTATCCGGATCACCATATAGGGTACTTTTTACCACGGGAAAATGTCTCATTTCTGAGATAAAATACAAAAACTATGATGTAAGAGTATACTAATATGTAAACCCTAAGAATTTTTGGTCATCTGAACGCAGCCGGAGCCACGTGTAATGCTTGTCTTACGTATATACATACAAATAATTTACTTCAATGTAAATTTTGGCTGCACTCAATGAAATATAGAAAACTGTTATAAATGTTATGCTAATGATTACACTAAATCAAACATGATGAATAAAGTGTAAATGTTGTACAATTAAAATGAATATGTGTTCACTGATTTTTTTAAAATTATAACCTATATACAACATATTAGTATTAGTAATAGATGGGTTAACTTTTAACATAAAAAGAAGGATCACAAAAGTAAGTTTGATGGATTTATTCATATCAAACATTCACATCGCATATGACATAGGCTCTATGTGCTAAATGTTAAATTATATGAAAAATTTAGCCTTTTTAATGTCCCACAATGAGACACAACATCCCTTCAAAAAGAGAATGATATGAACATAATACCTATCACTTATATTTTAGTTCATTACTGTAATTAAACAATTAAAAATTGGATAGTATTTCAAAAAATGATTTTGCTTATTAGTTTTTTAAGTTTGTATAATATATACACAACTTCAGCAAGTAAGCTTTCAAGAGAATTGAATTAGCAAAATATTAATATTAGTAATTTGAAATTAGCATTACATGTAAAACAAGTTTTTAAATATCAATATATAAATTATTATAAATAAATAAATATTTTAAATGAGTTAGGTTTGAAACATACTTTATGAACATATTGAACCTATTCTTTTATCAATTCATTTTTAATTAATAATTTTCCATAAAATAGTATTATAAATTTTGATTACTATGACTTCTGTCAAATAAAAAATGTGCAACAAAAAGTTTTGTGTGCAAGTAAAATTATAATTATATATTGATATAAATCAGAGCATGTCTTAGAAGATATTAACTTTCAGAGCACCTAATAAACAATAAAATATTTAATAAAAGGTATTTCATGGTTTAAAAATTTAGATAAGGTAAGACAAATAATCAATCAGTGACCACACAATACATTCACAGAATAAATGATAGGTAATGACCTTTTTGAGTAGTTCATCATCAGGTTTGACAAATGTGAAGAGGCTGTAGCCAAGGGCTCCAAAGGAGACCACCCAGAACAGAGACTTAGCGGCAATACTCATCTCACCGAGTTTATATCTTGCCTTCGTTGGTCCAGACTTGGTTATCAAGTTCACGGGTCTTTTGTTCTGCCAGTGTTTCACCCACTTTGTAATATCCTTCTAGAATCCAGTTATAATTCTTGTACATATACAGACGAAAATCTAAAACGTAAAAAAAGAAAAATCTAGAACTGTCGATAATGGTTTCAAGTGTAATTAAGCTGCGGTCGTATTTCAAGATTAACTATAAACATGGTTTACTTATTGATGATTCGTCATGACAACTTTCTACAAATCATAACTAAAAAATATTTCCAATAATGATCTATGTAAAACATCTTTTCATTATAAAATTTACCTCTTTCAGTGTTTAATTTGAACCATAATCCATAAGATGCGGCTATTCCTAAAGCTTCGATAACGAAAATAGTCTTCGCAGTTACACCAAGAATACGTTTAAAGCCTGATTTCGGTTTCTTTTCAAGCATAGTAACATTTATAACAACAAAAAATGATTTTATAGGAAAGTATTCAGTTTTTTATCTCCTGATGGAGAACAAGAAAAGATCACAAATCACAAAATGTCGCATGAGATGACGTAAGAAAAATTGACATTAAATTAATAAGTCAGCAGATAACTATAGAAATTAGAAAAGCTATTTTAGACCAAAAATGTCAAACTTTAATGGGGAAGATTTCTCCGAATGAGGGCGCCACATGTAGGGCCTATTTACATTCAGTTTGAACTCTGAGGGTAAAAGGGGATAATAAAGTTATATGCGCAAAGATTTATTGAAGTTATACTTCTCTTGGCACGTTTGGAAAAAATTATAAGAGTAAAATTTTGCGATGCATGTGCACACCGAGAACCAAAAAAAAAACATAATGAAGTTAGCTGCATTATTTTTATAGAGAAAGATTTTTGATTATTTTTACAGAGAATTGTGAAAAACGGTATGAAATATTTAGCTATTTTTGTTCTGTCATGCCAAACAAGTATAACTTCTTACTTGCATACAATGTTACATGCGTAGCATTTCTATATAGCTTGTGATGTATACACAAGTACACATACACGTTTTTTTATGATCAGAATTACTTGAAACTTGGTATTAATACTCTTCAATACAATTAAATGAATACATGTTGTATTATTTTTCATAGTGATCGCGACATCTGGCGGGAGAAAAAGGCAAAATTCTTCCCCATCATAATTTATATCCAAGCTAGCGACTCACCCATGCTTTGCTCGTGTTTGTCCCTAACTTGCTTCTCCATAAAAACTTTCATCCCGACTCGCACCGCCTTAAGGGATGATTTCCAGGATAAAAATTATTTCACTCACTCACTTTTCATATCATGATATTTAAAAAATCTTATTTTAGTAAAAGATTATTTTAAATTATTTAGAAAGTCTTTCCAAAAAACATTTAATGTACAGATTCGGCTTAGTTAGAATTTTATTATATGTATATATTATTATGCAGGGCGGAACTGGTAAAAAAAGGCTGATTTCAGTTATTTAATGGTTAATTTATCACTTGTTCACTAACCGATTAAGAATATTTTAAGATAAATAATTAATTTTACACTAACATATATTTGTAAAGTTATATATTCATTTATGTTGTATTTCTATTTTTGGTGTAATAAAGGATTAATAAAAAAATAAATATAATTTTAATTAATTCGGAATTTCATTCATTAATAGTATTATATTCGGCTATATAGCCGAAATGAAAATACACGTACCTAACACAAAACATTTATTTAATGTTATTGAAATATTTTTTAAACAACAACTTATTTCTTATAACTTAAAACTTACAACTAAGTTTTTGGCTCATCAGAAATAATTTGTTTAATGAACTTTATAGTATATAATTAACTTTTTTACAAACTTCATCTCTTAACACTCAGCTGTACAAGGCCTCATTTCAAATGTGGAATAATTTTCCCAGCAATAATCGGAGATTTCTTCCTGTAAAAACGAAATTATACATATATTAATAATAATTAATAAACATAATATGTATATTGTATGTAAACTGTACGAATTACTAGGTACTTTATTAGCGTGCCAATCTTCTGAACGAGTACCTATGAGGGTCTATATTCGAATTTCGGTTCTGACCAGACTAGTCTTGTGGGCTGACGAGAGAAAAAGATTATTTGATTTATCTCCTAAAATATGTCAATAATTCGCCAATGTCAACGGTGTGGAACAGTCTATCGAAGACGAGAAAGAGGAAGTAGCTGTATTGTACCTACTGGGTGCAGTAACGCAGACACTTGAGCAAAAAGTACTTACTATAATATCTCTTGATAAGTAAGGTAAATTTTACAAGATTGCAGGCCAATCTTTAGTTTGACTCATGTGAGAATATAATTTAACAATATAATAATAAAGTGATAATTTGTATGTTTAAAATAGCAATTCGTACCTGTCTGTTTGCGCTTAAGTGTCGTGAGCCCAAAAAAAGAAAAAATGTTAGCATTTATTTAAATAAATAAAAATGGCACTAACTGGTTACAAACACACACAATACAAACATTAAAAACTTAAGTTTAATATTTAAAAAAAACTTAATTTTTTAAAATCGCATCGTTTTCCAAACTTAAGTTTTTATCAAATTATGCCTGAAATTCATCAAGCAATTTTTCCTTTTAAAATCTTCGACCATATAGCCACGGTAGATGAAATGAATCTCCATGCATAAAATATATTTATTTGTCGACATACTCTATCTTTCGTAATGACGCCGTTGTTCATGTGGTACCGGAAGCGTATCTGAGTGCCGTTCTCGATGACGCCGTCGACGCACTCGTTCTCGCACGGCAGCCACTCCTCCCAGTCCGAGAGGGAACATTCTTCATCGCTTACCGCTGATGTAGGTCGAGGTCTATATTGGTGGCTATAATGTTAAATCGTCAGTTTAATTATTTTCTTTGTCAATTAGGCATTTTGTGATTCATATAAACTATATACTGTCATTAATTAAAAAAAAAAAAAACAAAACAAAATAAATAATCTGCCTCTTTTTATAATCACATGATTTTTTGTCTCGAATCGTATTTCATATTATATTTATTATGTATCATCATATTCTCATACAATAAATATGACCAATATTTATTTTGAACTTTCGTTTTTTAATTTTACATGAATCTTTCAGGTCTGTTATGAATGAAGGCTTTTTACATTTATTTACTACATTAGTGGCTTAGTGGCTAGCATGTACTAGTTAGTGGCTGTAGATCTGAAGGTTCTGGGTTCGTCTCCCGTGTCGGACCAACTTTAGTTACTGAGCTTTTTGTTAAATCCTAGTAACAGCCCAGAGTTGGGCAGTTGGTTGTGTTTCACCCGGCCATGTCTTGGAGCACGTAGAACTTTCGGTCCTGCGCCTGGTCCTGAACCAGTGAGAGATCGTGTTGAATTGTCGTTCGACCGGAGTATGAAAATGACAGGAATAGAGCGTGCACGCTGTGTCTGCGCGTATACTTGTGCACTATAATATCTCCTGAGCAGTTGGCTAGTCTCATTTAGGTTGGCCGCCGTGGCCGCAATCAGTCTGGAGGAGATTACATTTATTAAACACTTACGAAGGAGTGGTTGTTGTGATCACGTCATTGTCGTCTCTATTAATTTCTTCTTTATCTACAAATGAAAAATAACATTCCATAATCCATTCATAAATTCTATTAGCTATTAACTCACTGACTTTTAAACTGATGGGAGGAATACCAAAATTGAGATTACCAACTACGAACTTTAGTCTTATATAATAAAATCCTATTAGACTCAACTCAAACTAAAATATATTACAATAAAAGTATTACTAAAATTCGTTATTACTTTCTTCAGTCGTAGTTTCAGTAGCTTCAGTCGAGCAGGCGGCCGTCGTGTACGTGCGAAGGAGTTCGAAACGTAATTTGGCAAAAGGCTTTATATTTTCCTTTGATATCGTTTTGTTTATCTCTGCTGATTCTATCGGCTGAGGCGGCATTGTTTCTTCATTTGCTGACTGCAGATTAAATTAAAAATACATATTTTTTTTAAACTGTAACAGGCTCCAAGTATAACTGATTAGCATAATTTTCATCTGTGCGAAACCCACACAGAGTTTTTATATAGTGCACAGATAATGTTATATAAGTGTCTTAATAATAAAATAATATTTTATTAGTATCTAGAAGTCACCAAATATAAAGTCATTAGTTTTTATTAACCAACGTTTAAATTCTTAGGTATAGCCAATATACAATATATAAACTGTAAAATACTTTTAAATACTTGCCTCAAAAGTCAACCCACTATCCGTGCCAGCATCTGACGCATAAATATTGAGGGTTAAATTAGGCGCCCACGTGCCTGAAGCGACGTCGCAAAGCTCCATATTGGATACGCCTACAAACCAGTCTGGAGACGGAAGTATTGCCGCCACTAACGACACGAGGTGATGTTCTCTTGTAACTCGAAACATAGCGGTCGTCTTCATATTCGGTTTTGGTTGGCCGGATGCTTTCAGTAGTGTTCTCACTGAAATACCGAGCTGAAGGAAATGCAAAAGTTAATTTGCGCTAAAACTTTAATTTATCAATACCTTTATTATGAAGTTCATTTTAGGAAGTTATATAATTGAAAAAATATTATTGTTTAGCTCAAAAGCTATATCTATACTTATTATAAAAATAAGTCCCCCGGCCGCGTCTTTCTGTCCTCCTGTCTGTCTGTACGCGATAAACTCGAAAACTACTGAACGGATTTTTATACGGTTTTCAACAATAGAAAGAGTAATTCTTGAGGAAGGTTTAGGTATATAATTTATTATGCTTTTATGTAAATTAGCTGAAATACGGCGACAAATGTTGAAGAGGTCGCAAAAAATCTCGCCAAATGGGAACTTTCCACGCGAACGCCGCGTAAACTAGCAAAGATACAGTTAAGTAATGTACTAGAGAATTCAAAATCTATAAAAATGCTACAAAAAAGTCCGCGATAGCATATCTCTATCTCTTACGGTTGACTTACAATAACCACTTTTATGTTAACATTTTTAATTAAAAACATTACGTTATTTTCAAAGTTATTTTCTTTAGTTCGGTATTAATCCTTATCCAAATGAATATTTTAGTTAGCTTAGTCATTTAATGCAGATTAAAATTGCTCTTTACACTAAATCAATCAGATGAATAGTTTTTGAGATATCGTTGTTAGAAGTGCATCGCTCGACCGCCTGCTCAAGCTATATAAACCGGGCGATGTAGCGCGCGAGGATACTTTTTACCGCGGGAAAATATCTTATTTCTGAGGAAAAATACAAAAACTGCAATGTAAGAGTATACTAATATGTAACACCTAAGAATTTAGTTTTTGGTCATCTGAACGCGGGCGGAGCCGCGGGCAATGCTAGTCTCTATATAAAAAATTGTGATAAAAAAAGCAAAAAGACAGACAAGTATATATTTCTTCTTAGACTAGAAGTAAATTAAACATTATAGTATACTATAAAATACTTATATAGTGTATATGCTTACAACATGATTTTAAGTGTACCTACTAAAAAATATTTTTTGTAGGCCTCTTTGAATGCTTTTACGCCGCATTACGTACGGTGCTTATCTCGAAAACTGCACTTCTCAAAGCTTTTAATATGAATCACGCACTATGTCTTAACTAAAATACTAGCATTCGTTTTATAAGGGCTGCTCCACACTATAGTGCCGACCACTGTTCGCTCTCGGTCCGATATCGGTCTGGTAAAATATTGTTACGCAAAACCCAATGAGTGCATTCACACTATCAGTAAGACTCACGCTACGGTCGAATCACGCTCCAGAAACGTTTTTTATATAGAAATACATTACCGGAGCGAGAGCGGACTGTGATCGGCTTTACAGTGTGGAGCCGCCCTAATGATTCTGTTATTTGGAATGCTACTGACCTGTTTCAAAATTTCCAACTCCAATTTTGTCGTATTTCCTTGTTCAGCCAACATTTTGAGACCTTCACTGGCGTCTGAATTAAATCTATATAACTTGAAATTATTGTTGTGGGAGGCGCCCACCACATCGCTAAAGCGAGCCAATTCGCGTGAAGAAGGGAACATGTACGGATGGGTGTTGAAAGACCAGATTCCATCAAAAGTAAGCTTAAAAGGAAAATTAGATCAAATCGAGAATCGAATCAGCAATTACCTGGATTAAATAAAAAGGTCCAAAAAAACGAATGTACTGCACAATTTTAAAGTATTTTTGACCCTTTCTCTTACAGATAAAAACGACGTTTTATGAATGATAATACGCAATCATCAAAGAAAACGTTTAATGATTTCTTAAATCTCACCAGGTACCTCGCATCCTCACACGTGATGCAATTATTGTTCTCTGTCGGCTGCATATCTTCCATGTTGCGTCGGTCCTCGCACACTCGCTTCGACAGTGGCCCATCAAAGTTGTACCACACATCTGGCCTCACTGCTAACACCGCGAATATTGTGACGCATTTGTTATTTTTGGGTGGTGCTTTCCAAATTACCTACGAGAAGATAATTGTGGACATAACGTATAAATTAATCGTTTCACGTTCAACCATAAAAAATGGTAACGGGGGAATATCATCGCGTAAGAGTTTAATTGCTGTTTAATTATATTTTTATATTTAATATAACTTAATACAATAACTGAATTTGGGCCAAACCAAAGAAACGGCATTATATATTTGTGTCATAATGAAAATCTTTATAATTACCTCAACGGATATTTTTGGTGTTATATCTGTTTGAATCACAGAGTTGGTACATATCGGAGCATTCATGGCGTCTCTAGAATGTTCGGGAACTTCGATCCTGCCAGCATTGAGTATGGTCTCTTTTCTAGGATTTATGTCTTTGAAAAGAGATTCTCCGCGAGCTGAGATTGTAAAAGCGATGAAGGTGGAGATTGAATCAGTTGAAAACAGGCGCACTACAAACAAAGAAGTATAAAATGAAGATTTCTTTAGCATTGTCGAGAAGTTGAAATAAAGTTAGCATTCATTTTTTTATTAGAATTTAAACTAACAGATTTCAGTGGTACTATTTACAACTTTGTCCTCAACATCCAGGCTACAAAAAATATCTGAATTTGAATTTTGAATACAAGAAGTAAACTTATGATTTAAACAGTAAACATCTTACCTACGTATTTATTGTTAGGGATGTACAGATCATCGCTGATTCCGATGATATCGATTTGAAATCGATTGTCCGGAGGTAAAGGATCGGTTTTAGTCTTGAGTGGTCGGCGATCGCATAGTTCATCACATCGAGAAAATTGTAGAAATATTAAGCAAAATAATATTTTTATCACTAAACTGCATTCTGTAAATTTAAACATTGTAGTGGAAATATGTATTTTTATAAAACTGACTATAATAATTTGTTTCATCGTTTATATAAATAAGACATCAAATAAATGTCCTTGATAACAGAGTAGGGAAGTAGGAGCAAGTGTCGCCAATCTATTCAGAGAACCTTTGGGACTTATTCTAATTTCTAACCAGCACAGGAAACTAACAAAGACACAGATCAGGCATCCTTTGGCTTCAAATATGGTAAAAGGGAAATGAAAAATACCCAGTTTAATTTACGCGGCATCCCTATTAAAAATCTCCAAATAATAAATGTTTATAAGTTTCTATGTGGCTTTTGTCGCTTTTGATGGGATTCTATTGGAAGTTTTTCAATAGGGATAATAATTGGTCTCAATCTCTTACGAAGCCTGAAGTATTTGTATCTTTAGAAGTTAGAAAATCGAGCTCGCATCCCTACACCTCTTGCACTAAGTAAAAATAATAAAAGCTTACCACGAAACTTATAAATGTCCATATTCTCGTGGTTAATTCGAAACTATGCTCCTTTAAGCGTATAAGATTAACGTGAGAGACTATGCCGGCCAATTGTCGCTTGTTGACTGAATCTAAATTAATTAGTATTAAACTCGTGTGGTGCGTTGTATTACATCTCATAATACATTTTTCCTTTTACCAACTTCAAAAAGGAACAACAAAGCTAAAACTTTAACTGGCTTCAGACTTCAATAATAGTCCTTCTCCCTAAATAAATAAATATTAAATATGTTGGGACATTAACACAAAGCACCATCTAGTTCCATGGTAAGCTACGTGGTTTGTGTTATGGATACCAGATAGTTCATACAATACACATAAAACTTTAAATACATTCATATAAATATAAACACCCAAGACTGGAGTAGGTATATTCGTGCTCATCACACAAATAAATGCCGCCAGCGGGTCTCGAACCCGCAACCTGCTGACATAGCAAGTATGGTCACTACAAACTAAGCCAAATGTGTCTTAAAATCAAAATTAAATGTTAAAATATTATGTACCTAATTTGGAATATAATTATTTAAAAAAGATACTAATCGTTATTTAAATTACTTCTACGAGAACTTCACATAATACTTTCATAGATTTACACGAATATTTGACATTTTAAATTATCTTCTCGGATTATTTCGCGGATTTATTTTGATTTTTGGTTCCCGACGTTTCGAATGCTTTACAGCAATTATGGTCACGGGAGACTCGGATTAAGATTAAGGATAAGGTTTCAGATGTCTCAAAGGCGTAAAATACTTCTTACAAAATGAGTTAAAAAATTTAAAAAATGACGCCAAATGCCTTACAATAATTGTTGATTTTAATTCTAAACATTTTAAAATCTTAGACGAATCTGTACAGTAAATATTTTTTGGAAAATCTTATTAAAATAGTCATTATTATCGATATAGAGGCCAAATCTATAGTTTTTAGAATTTTTGTCTGTCTGTCTGTCTGGTCATGTAATCTGTCGGTCACGGTAATGTTATGTAAACATGTGTAACAATGTAACATGTAGCGGAGCGAGCGTGAGTTGCTAGTCAGCTAGTAATTAGTATTATTATATACAAAGAGAATGTATCCACTACGTTATTATATATTGATATAACTCGCGACCAAAACCACAGGCAAAGGCGAGTCAATACACCAAGTTTAAGGGCCTGTCCGCATTGCGATATTTCACCGCGCGATTTTTATTCTCGCGTATTATATTCCGTGATCGAAATTGTACTTATTACGCACTGTGAATAAAATTTCGTACGATTTTTGTCAGTTTGATGCAGTTCCCGACTGAGACAAACGTCTAAAATGATAAATCTACTATATCTACTGAGACATTTTAGTAATCTAAAATGATGTTTTTCTACATTAAATATCAAGAGCTGCGAAAATACAGTAAAAAGTTTTTCGGATATTACAGAATGACTACAAAATCATTCGATAAACCAATAGCGTCGGTGCACGACTGAGCGAAACGCACGAATTTTTTTTCGCAGTGCGGCCATAGCCATACATATTATATACTGTACAAAACATTCGCGCGGAAATAATCCGCGCCGCATCGCGTTCAATTTGCATCAAATCACAGATTTTTTTCCGCGCGAATTTTTAACCGCCAGTGCGGATACTCCTATAAGATTCAATGTGTTACAGAATTGCGGGAATAAAAACGTGCGGTGAAATATCGCAGTGCGGACAGGCCGTAAAAATCAGCTCATTTATTTGATTCCGATCTGTCGGTTGACTTATGAATAAAGTTTTCAATAATATTAAAAGGGATATTTTCAAAATGGAAATAAAACACATTTATATTTTTCATTTTATTATACTTCCTCTATCTTTGTGAGTATAGAGAAGATTATCCCTATTTAAAAACTCCAATATGATCCCATCAAAAACGACAAAAACCACATTGAAACCAATAAATATGTGTTGGTTTTGATTGATTCTATTGGTGTTTTTCAACAGGGATTTATCTTACCTACATATGACTGAAACTTTTTACATATTATAATAAATATATTGGCTCAGATATACGGTTTCAATTTAATTGATACTTAATATTTATACTTAATTATACTAGCATAAATCAATATTAGACGTATTCAGATTCGTTATTTATGAAAAGATTCACATAAATAGATATAGAAACAGAAAATTATTTGTCTTTTTCTTCTCCCGCTGCATTTATGAAGCTTATTTAGTTTGTCTATTGCTTATTTAATTTTTTTTACATAATTTTAACGTAATATTGTAATAATAATAATTATTTTTAATACGAATCTACTTCGTATTCATTCAGTTCGTGTTTTTTTTCCTATCCTTTAGAAGCGTGTCGCTTGGAGGTCCATCCGTGACCCGGAGCTATCGGCATCATTTGCTTTTCAGCTGAAAATAAAGTTATTGCTAATATTTAATTTACAATTCACGCGGGCATCGATTGGTTATATATCAATACATATAATAAAATTCTAACCGAATCGAATCTGTTGAGTTAATGTTTTTTAGGGAATCTTATTGAAATAGTCATTATTATCGATGCAGGGGCAGAATCTATTTTGGCCGTTTTTAGAAGTTTTGTCTGTCTGTCTGGGAACGCATCACGAGTAAGCCACTGGATAGAACTTGATGAAATTTTGTTATGATGATAGTTGGTTACTCGACTTTTTATTACAGGCAAATATCTCATCTCTAAGAAATCTATACTAACCGTTAAACTATGTATATATTTTCCTTAATATATTTCACAAATATACACCTTTCATTATGCGTGACGCATTTCACATAACTTTTAGTTTTTCTAAATGATCTCCCCAGAATATCGTCCAAAATGGGATCAGATTGGATTGGATGGATGGAATCAGAAGGTGTTTACCTGTTATTTCATTTTCCTCCTTCTCTGAACAATCATCTGCACATTCCTCCCTTTCAAAGTCGTCGAAGTGGTTTTTACAAAATCTTGGCACTTCTTTCCTTGATGATGGATCCACCTACAGTTTAATATAACATGTTTATATTATAGGTAAACTAGCAGAACCCGCGGCTTTGCTCGTGCTAAAACTACACTAACTACAAAAAAACTCTTAAAGGGTAGGTTTCACACAAACTTTCATCTGCTATTTTACCCCCTTATGAGATGAATTTCGAAAAATGCTAAAACACGTATTTAATTAATGGTCTTGAAGAGTATTAATATTAAGTTTCAAGTAATTCTGATCATAAATATTTTTTTGTATTGTATCATAACGTGTTTTCCCGTGGGAAAGAGATAATCTCCCGCGGTATAATGAAGCTTATGTCACTCTCGAGCCCTCCAACCATCTCCACACAAAATCACGCCAGTCCGCTAAGCCGTTTCGACGTGAAAGAAAGACAAACAAACAAACAAATAAAACACACTTTCACATTTATAATATTAGTATAGATATAAAAGTATAGATTATAAATGCGAAAATTCGTATATGTTTATATTTGTTTGATGTTTCTCATTCAAGCTGATATGACTAGGATGAGACTATGGGCTACAGTTAGGCTAATAGGGAAACAAATGTGTGAAGCGAGGGTGCGCTAGCGATGAATAAATATATCCGCGGAGCTGCTCCTGTTCTTAAAGTCGATCAAATAGTAAGGCTACATATAGGAGTAACCTTTATCGTTAAGCATGAGGTTTACTTCGGAAAGTCTATGGGGCTTCGTGGGTGAAGACTGAAAACGGTAGTCATTCTATGGCACCGGGTAAGATTCTTCTTCTTATTTTAATAGGCAGTAGTGGCTTCTCTAGCCAATGAGTCACATCATATCCTGCATATAGGTACCTAGATGTTATGTATAAAAGCACTTATTAGCTTAAAAAAAGCAGGAAACCAGACTAAAACTCAGACATCATTTGAAATAATTCAAAAAAAATTGGAATATAATATTATAGAAGTTTTGAAAAACACCTCAGGATCATATTTCTCCACAGCAACACCATCCACCAGGTGGTACCTCTGCCTCCAGCGGAAGCCCGAGAGCCGGCCGCCCTCGCAGAGGCCGTCGCAGGGGCTCCAGTCCTGCCACTGCGACATCGGGCAATCCTCCGACGACTCCGGGTCCGTCACCAGTGGCGCTTCACTGGAATACAATAAGATATAAAAACTAAACATAACGATCATAAAACTAAAATATTTCATATCACGATTGATGAAAAGGATGAATTTAGAATATAAAATTAGATTGTATACTGTTTTTAATCTTCTCCCTAAATCTTAATCGCTATGACCTCTTGATATTTTTTATAAAAACTTTTTTACAAAAAATAAAAACCGACATGCAGGCACTAAAATGTAAAAAATAACTAAACGGAGGTTTTCATTTAGAATAGATACCTAATCAGATATTTTCGAAATCGATTTGCAATTTATTTAAAAAAAATATTTATTGTTGATTTTTTTTAAAAAAACCGCTCAGCCGATTTCGACAAAATTTATAAGGGACCACCTGGGAAGTATACCCTTTAAAACAAACATTTTTTTTCCAAATCGGTTGAGGCGTCTTCGAGTAATCGGTGAACATACATAAAAAAAAGGAAAAAAAAAGATTCCGTTGAATTGATAACCTCCTCCTTTTTGGAAGTCGGTTAAAATTATGCCACGATTGGACAATCTATCTAAGGTAATCAATCCATTTGTCTGAAACTACGCAAACTATACTCTCCTTATTTCTCATTTCGCAGGATTCAGAGAGTGGTCCTGAACCACTCTCTATCTCTGCCTTGAGACAAACAAAGCTAACTTCCCAAATCAGGTTAGATTTGATAATAATAAATGATTTTATATTCTACTAAACTATTTACTGACATCATTATTGTGTCGTCTATGCTACCTATTATCTAACATTTAATTTATATTAATTTAATTATATATAAATTTATATAAATATAATAATTAATTTAATGAATAATATTTAACGATTTTCCATAAAATATTTAATGTACAGATTCTCAGTTACAACTTTTTTATATGTATAGATAGATAACTTACAAGTAAATAAGATGAATTGGGTGACAATAAATCGTAAACAACTAATTCTCACCCTCTTCTCCCGAAAGCTAGATCTGTGTTTTGGTACCTGGATGGCTCTTCAGGTTCTCCTAAACTTTCTTCAGATTCTCCTTGAGAGGATTCGCCCTCTTCATCTTCTGCCGTCGTACTTTGTTCTGTTGATGCTTCTGGTTCACCTGTTAATTTTTTTTCACTTACAACTATTTTCCCCAACACATTGAAATACTTAATATCAATTAAACTTCTTAACTAAAATTTAAAATGAGGTACTATTCTCATATAAAGTGTTAATATAGCAATAAACAACAGTTAATAATTTATTATTATAGTTATGTGAACGTGTAATTAGATGTTTCCGGTAACTAGTGCATAAACAATTTTAACATTACTTAAATGAATTCATGAAAAAAGTAAATATATATACAATATACTATCATAACAACAGTCCACTTTGCTTCTTTATAAAAATATTCATTGTACTGTCTGAAATCCTTTACATTATTTTGAAAGTATCTGATGATCCTCAAATAGCCTTCAACAAACGTAGCAGCAGAAACTAAAAATCTCGCTTGACTTTAAAATAAAAGACCGCGTCAATCGTCCATCCGTTTAAGATCTACGACGCCTCAGACAGACAGACAAACATACAGATAACAGACCAACGCATGCGCAGTTCTATATAGAGTTGGACTTATAATACGCCTCTTTTTTCGTCGAGAATTAAAAATCAATATTAATTATTATTTAAGTTAATTGAATTCAAACCCAAATTAACTTCCAAAATACCATAAGATTATTATTTTTCTGCCTCATCGTTAACATATGTTACTATCTCAAATGTATATAAGCAACATACTAGTGGCCTCCTCCTCCGCACACTCTCTGTGGTAAGTCCGGATCAGTTTGATGTGCAGTTTGCCGAAAGGATGGAGATCCTTCATGTCCGTTTCGTAAAACGGCGAGTTTTTATCATACGAACTCATTTGCACTCGACTGACGGCGTCTTGTGGAAACGTCTCCATATTTGGGGACTGAAAAAATTGTAATATTTTAATAATAATAAGAAATCGTTAAAATATTTTTTTTTTAACTAAGTATAGTTAATAAATATAAGATAATAGAAAAGGCCAAACATTTTGTTCAGTTTAGCCGTAAGTCGTGTGGAACTTCTTACGAAAGTAAAAATTTTCATACTTCAGTGTTTGTCAGAGAAATAGAACTACAATATATTTTTTTAATATTGTTATATTTTAAGTTTCTATAAATATATAATTAGTGACCATTGACCAATGATATGAAACAACAAAGCAAAGACTCACTTCATAGGAAACTCCACTATCAGTTCCGGCGTCCCAGGGATATAAATCCAGTTCTCTCTCCGGCAACCACGTGTTGTCTTCCCGGCACAGTTCAAACCTGGTCACCCCCAGAAACCAGTCAGGAGACGGATGTAATGCCACAGCAACAGTGAATAGATGATTTATTTTATCACTACGAAAGAACGCGTATGTCGGGTTGGACATTTTGTGGTAGCCATGCCCTTTGCCTTTGATTAGAGTACGAACTCCATCACCGATCTGTGAATAAGTCTTTATATAAAGACGCATGATGTTGCATGTTGGGAAACAAGCGGTGTTTATCATACCACTATTCGCGAAGATGCTGTACGAATTATATTGAAAATTATTTAAAATTTTATTAGATACATTAATAACTACATAATACATATAGTGTACATGGAAAACAATGGCAAGTACAAGTGTTTTACTGTAGAAGCGATGTTAAATTTATATTTTACTAGCAGTACGGGTACTGCTTGTAGTAGCTAGTAGGATTCGCTCGCGGTGAAATTACAAAAAAAAACTAAAAAGATAGGTTATATTTATACTAAAGGTTATAAATAAAACTATCTTTTCGGATTATTTCGCGGTTTTATTTTGATTTTTGGTTCAAATATAGATTTAAGTACATTACATAGTATTTACTTGTGTATGACTACCTCGGTGGTCTAGTGATAGCATGTACGGATGCAGATGCGGAGGTATTGGGTTCAAATCCTGGGTCGGGAAGTATAGTCATTGGGTCTTTCTGTTAAGAAAGTTCCAGTAACCGCTCGAAGTTGAGAAGTTAGCGATGTTTCATTCCCGTGCCTCGGAGTGTACGTTAAGCCGTCGGTCCTGCACCTAATCTCTCACGGCGAGTGTCGAATTATCGTCCCAACAGTGTGATATTGAAAAGAAATGAAATAGTGAGTGCACTGGTATCTGCGCGTACACGCACTGCACTATAATATCTCCTGTTTTTGGCTAATCTCATTGAATTTGGGTGTCATAGCCGAAATCGGGCAGAACGACATCATTACTTTACCTTTTCTCTAATTTCTGCTTCCAGTTTACTTCCATTAGCGTGTTCGGCAAAGTGCCTGAAGCCGTCCGTGGCGAGCGTGCCCGGCGCCCACAGGATGTGGGCGGCGGCGTGCGAGGCGCCCACCATGTCGCTGTAGCGCGGCACCCAGTCGTTCTCAGGGTACAGTCGGGGGTGCGTGTTCCGAGACCAAATTCCAGTAAAAGTTAACTATACAAGAAACGTGAAATTAAAATTATATATTATATTTTATATTTGTATTTTTTTATACAAAACTAATAATCGTATAAATAACCTTTGGAAATAAAAACTTGAGCTTATATATATATATATATATATATATATATATATATATTAATATAATCTTTATTTTTCTAATTACATATTCCGGTCCTATAACAAACTATAGTTATAATTTGGAACTTTGTAATTTACAGGTTTCTGTATTGCATAGACGCATCGGAAACTTCCTTATCAGTATGTTGCAGATGTCCACGGACAGTTATGAAAAACAATTTTACTTCGAGTGTATTGAGTCGACTACTCCTTTATCAATTGCAATATAACAAAAAAAACTATTTTTTCTAACTATTTTTCTTATGGAATTTATTTTAAGATTTAATTCTATATACCTACATATAATAAAATTCTAACTAAGTCGAATCTGTACATTAAATATTTTTTTGGAAAATCTTATTGAAATAGTCATTATAATCGATACAGAGGCCGAATCTATAATTATTAAAATTTTTGTCTGTCTGTCTGTCTGTCTGTTACTGCATCACGGAAAAACAACTGGAGGCATTTTGATGAAATTTGGTATGATGATAGCTGGTTATCCGGGTCTAGTTATGTAGGATACTTTTTATTGCGGGAAAATATTTCATTTCTGAAAAATCTATACTGAACGTTAAAATGTAAGTAGGGACGAACCCGAGCGGAGCGAGGGTGAGTCGCTAGTATATAATATTTTAGTCTATAGCATTTTAACCAAAGCATTCAGAAATTCTACCTTTACCCCAAAATTTTCATTTAAAAACTTATTATGCATATTATGTGACCTCTACGCGGTTACGAAATACCAGTTACAGTAAAACAAAATAAGAACATTTTTTAAACCTAATTCATTTACCAAGTATTTGGTACCTACAGATTTACTTGTACAAATAATAGCTTTAAAATTTCGATCTAAAATTTGTTCACCTCATATTTCGCTTCATCGCATATACTGCACTGGTAGTTCAGCAGCGGCGTGACGTCGTCGGGCGCGCGCGTGTCCTCGCACAGGCGCAGCGACAGCGGCCCGCCGTCCTCGTACCACGTGCTCTCGGTCTCCGCCACCATCGCACGCAGCGTCACGCACCCGTTACCGGACGGCGGTGCTTGCCAATATACCTTGTGTAAATCCTATTATTAATCCTATCTTACTAATGATGATAATGTTCTCCTAACCGATTCCGGCCTCGGCGGCCAATCTCATTGAGACTAGCCAACGGCGCAGGAGATATTATACTGCACAAGTGTACGCGCAGACACAACGTGCACTCTCTATTCCTGTCACTCTCATACTCCGGTGGGACGACTGCTCGACACGACCAGTGAGAGTTAAGGCGCAGGACCGACGGCTTTACGTGCTCCCCGAGGCACGGGGGTGAAACACCGCCATCTTCCCAACTCCGGGCTGTTACTGAGACTTAATATACAGAAAGACTCAATAACTAAACTTGGCCCGACCCGGGACTTGAACCCAGGACCTCCGGTGTTCAGCCGTACATTCTAGCCACTACACCACCGAGGCAGTTAAATTTAACATGTTTAATATTAGTAAATCTTACTAATATTAAACACGTAAAAGTTTAGATATTTAGATGTTTTTGCTCAAACACACCAGTGCGGCTGAACGTATCTGGATGTTTATTGTTTAGCACAAAGATAGATTATTATCTGGAATAGCACATAGGTTTTTATACCGGAAAAATTAACGGGTCCCGTGGGATAGATTTTTTTTTGTTTTTTGCCAGACGAACCCATTTTAGTTCATATTTCCAGCGATAAACACAATACGTAAATTACTTTTCCTTTAATTTCATACATTATAAAATGCAGTGACTAGATAGTGATGATTATGATTATTAAAATACTTTAGGGTAACGTATTTTAAAAAGTCCCAAAATGCTTTAGACAACCTCTCAAAAACATCAGAAATTTTAAAGCTTCCAAATAGGTAACTTGAACAAGTAAGAACTTATCAAACCTCAACAGACGATTTTGCAGAGGCGATGGCATTCTCAACGGAGTACAAACATCGGTCACTGAACTTAGCGGTGATGGGGTTCAAAGGCCTCACTTCTCCCGGGAACAAAGACACCAGCTTCCTCTGATTTTTGGGATCTGGTTTAAAGTCGCCCTCCGCAGATATCATGAAACCGCTAAATCTGGATGAATCATCCGTTGCTATAATTTTAACTAGAAAAAGAAAACGTTTTTATGTACCTATAGTGTATACTTAAAACAGTTGTAAAAAAGGCAAACATTTTTTTCTTTCTATTACGCACTGTTTACTTATAAGTCATCATTTTTATTGCGCAGTCTTAAAAGCCAAAAGATATAGATAACCGTCAAGAATCGCGTCGGTAACCTACGGATTAAAAAACCAGAGGTCACTGATTCGAATCCCGCGAGACCATAATTTATAAGTAACATACATTGTTTTTATAGTTCAAAGTCAATTTAGGTACTATCCTTGCTGCATGAATATAATATAAGCTTTTATTTACCTATATAGAGTTGGTCAGGCATATAGGTATCTTCTAGTTCATCTATAAGTAGCTTAAAGCGACCGTCAGGCGCTGAAGATTGGGTGGTGGAGCCGTATGGCCTCCTATCGCACCGAAAACCCAGTACTTGAGTCAGGTCCAGACAAAAAATCAACATAGGTATCCAAGGTAGCATATTGATATTTGTGAATCTAAAAAGCGGAAAGAAAGTTTATAAAGTGCTGTTTATTGTACAATAAGCTGTTGATATATATAAATAAATAAATAAATAAATAAATAGCATTTGATAGTTTCAATGTAATCAGTAATGTGATATTTTATTAACATTCTCTTTAAGAGGATCTGCTTTTTCTTCTCCAATTCTTCTTTTAATCAGCGTCTATATAATAGCTTATATCATTTTAAATTCATTTCATTTAATATTTTTGGTTTTGTTCATTGATAACTGAATTAAAGACAGACAAAGGGCAAAGAAAGTTCATTGAGAACTGGATAAAAGAACCTTTAACGAATCATTGCTTAAAAAAAATCTTACTTACCTATTATATCGTAATTTTTAAAATATTTTATACACCCTTATTGCACATCACAAGCAGCGTGAAAGAGCACCGTGGGATAAATGAAGCAATTATAACATAGAAATGCCCTATAATATAACATATCGGGCTGGGGATCATGTTGCCGTACATATTAATAATTGACCTAATAAGTTTGAAGGCGAGGCATTGACCAACTGGAAACAGTAAGGGAAAGTAGTCTGTTAAAATAATTTTACTGTAATTCTGATAGATATATCTAATCCTGATTGATACATATAATAAAATTGTAAGCAGGGGCGGCCTTAGCCATTGCGAGGCCCCGGGCAGGAGTTCTTTGCGAGGCCCTTGTTTTTTATGAAATTTACGTTAATTGAAAATATTTTTAATGATGATGCTTGGCGAGAAATGTAAAATTTATAAATAAATAAATTTAAAATTGTATATTAGAAATTTATAAAAGTTAGCAAGCACAAAAAAGACAAAATTATTTTGTCAACATTTTTAGGTTTTGCGTGACTTGCCATTAATTCTATTAGCTCATTTTGAATAATTTTTCAGAGATAGTGGCATTATTAGTATCTTTTTAGCAGCGCTAGATTCACATTAGGAGCATTCCGGGCTAGTGCTCAGGGCGACAAATTTTTAGGGGCAGCAAAATTTGGAGGGTGGGAAAAAAATGTCTTCACGTTATCGAAAATGCTTTTTTTAGTTTCCAAAAAATGAATAATTAAAAAAGACTAAGTAGTATAATATATATTAGTTATAGTATATATTTTTCGAACAAATAATATCACTTATAAATTATTATTTTTGCATTTAAAAAAAAATTTATCGAAACTATTCATTTTATGCAAAGCTGCGATAACAGGGCGGCATTTTTTTTAGTGTCCAGGGGCGGCACTAAGGTTGAATCCGGCTCTGCTCTTTAGAATTCACGAGCTCGAAGGAGCTCGGTTGTTTGGAAGGCTTGTGTGGGCAACACAGGTCCAACACGTAGAGACCACTTAAGAGATTTAAGTGTTTAATATGACGCATCAACCGGCATCCATCTCTGAGTTACCCATAAGGAATTGCTTAAATATGGTTCCGGACAATGCGTAGGGACTATGGAAAATATGGAAAACTAAAAGAGTCTATGGAATGGAATTTGGATGGGCTAAAAACTGGGCTATTGGATGAGACTATCGAATGTCCGCCTTCTCAACAGTTTCATATTCAATATTTGGCAGACGGTGACTCGCCTCCCACTAATGGCATAGTGCCCCGGGCACAACATCAGTGTGGTTGGCTACGGTTATCGAGAAGTGTGCACCGGTTTCACCATAACAAGTGCTCGTGGGTTTCCCCGTTATTTTACAGAATGAGCACTTCTACCCTCTCAAGGATTTGGCTCTTGCGCTTCACTTTGGGCGGCCAATGAAGGAAAGCCTCTGGGCTAAAGAATTAATAGTTGTACAGCTTTTTAATCCGTTCTCTAAATTTAATAATCCGTTCACAATCCGTTCTCTAAATTTAACCGTTTTAACATACAATCTTTGTGCAGCCGAAGTCGTGAAACTTTAAATATTTACCCAAGTGTTTCCAATTGCAAAGTTCTGCACTGGACCCAATTCTTTATATTCTATTCTGAACAATCGACAGAAGAAGTAAATGGCAAGTTTTGTTTGTGAATAAATCATCCAATGCTTGTCCAATTTTTCACCATAAGCTAATATTTTAATTGTAATGATACCTATTCACTGAATCGCCGTCCACTATCATTTACGGGAAAAAATCTGTCTTAGCGCGGATTGGACCTTTCAATGAAATCTCAGTTCGGTTTGCATCAGTAATTATTGATGGTCATAAACCTGGGTCATTTTACGTATTGAGTATAAGATATTCAATTCCGCCACTCATGGATGTAGACATAGATTTACTCGTAGATACGTATTTCTGGCTGGATAGTGTTGACGACGGCGGCGGCGGTGGAGTAACAATGATGTTGTTTACTTACTATTATCATCGCTAGGTAGTAACGGCATCCCAAATGATGTCGATAAAAATATTTCAGCTGCTTTAGGCTTAGAATGCAAAAACATGTCACATTTAGTCACTGAAAGGTCTTAAGGACTTAGAAGCTTCTTGACCATCACCTTTTATATATTTATATAGAGACCCATACAGATTTTCTTCTACCTGCTTTCTTTTGATGGCTTGTTGCGTTTTTGAACTACCAAACTCAATTTTTCGACTGGCATCACAATCGTGCGAACTTAGTTAGAAAATATTTTTTGCACATAAAATTAATTAAAAAAATACAAGCAGTTGTACGCAGTCTTTTTACTAATTCATTCTTTACTATAATTACTATAATAACGTAAAATTTAATATTAATAGCTTATTGACTTAAACGCTACATGCTCGTACTGGCGGGATGTGGGTTTTGTAATGTCCGGCCTAAGGCAGGAGATTCATCAGAATCAACTGAAACCCAAGTGTATCAACACTTGGGTTGTTATGCGAAGGCGCGAGGCCCCCTACAAGCGCGAGGCCCCGGGCGGTTGCCCTGCTTGCCACCCCCTAAGGCCGCCACTGATTGTAAGTAAGCCGAATCTGTACATTAATTTTTTTTTTGGAAAATCTTATTGAAATAGACATTATTATCGATACAGAGGCCGAATCTATACTTTTTAGAATTTTTGTCTCTCTGTCTGGTTTTTTTGGAACAAAACATTTGGAAACGTTAAAAAAAAACATAATTATTAGCATGAGCGTGCAAAGGCCGAAAACTCTCTGTACGCTCTTGTACCGTATGTGATTTATGGAAGTATTATAACCTACTTTCGCTATTTATATTTAATACTAGTGACTCTCCCTCGCTTCTCTCGGGTTCGTCCCTAGCTTAATTCCCCATACAAACTTTCATCCCCAATTTCACCCCCTTAATATTTCTGGGATAAAAGGTATCCTATGTCCTTCCCAGGGTCTCAAACTATCTTCTTACCTAATTACATCTAAATCGGTTCAGTAGATCCAGAGATTACCCCCTATAACGTCACAAACTCACAAACTTTACCTCTTTATAGTACATATTAGTATAGATTGATTAGGTACTATTTTTCTGTGTTAGGGATATTCATATGATTATAGCAGTAGTTTTCAACAAAAAACCAAATGGACTTACGGAGTGATTTTGCATTTTTCTTGGGACAGGGAACGACGTGTTAATTTATTAATCATAATAGTTTTAAATTAAAATGGATATAGTATGTTATCCTTATGATATAGACATAAATGCCATTGCGGACTTTTCTCTAAACCTATGTTAGATACACAATTCCACCATACATTATTTTGTTATATCTCAAAGGGTTTAGGCAGCGTTTTTGTTGAAAGCTCCCAGGCGGCTTATTTTTTTCCTACACCTCCAACGAATATCGTTTAGCCAATGTATACAAAAACTTAACAAATTATATATTAAAATCTTCCTCTTGAATCACTCTATGTATTCCTTTACGTAGTTTTAAAGATCTGAGCATACATAGGTACAGACAGACAGCGGGAAGCAAGTAGCGACTTTGTTTTATACTGTATAGTGACGCTGTTGTGATGAATCTGATGATTAATGATAACATATTATTATGATTATTTATGATAATGTTTATAAATCCACTCAGCGCCTTAATTGAATAAGGTGCTGTTTTCAAAAAATAGCATATAGCGTGAACTCTTACGGAATTTTTTATAACACATCTACATGGGCGTACCCAGCTTTTGGTCCAGGGGGGGGATGTTGGCAAAACAGAAATTTGCCCCCCCCCCGGTCCCCGTGCTTGTTTTTCCGTACACACTATATTATGAAAACTAAAAAAATCCGAATGTCCATTTTTATTTAGCAGACACTTTTTATTATTTTCAACAGATTGCACACTGCACACAATATCAACAAGATTTTTTAAATACCATATAGGTTTATACATAGCATTATTAAAATTATACTTCTTTTGCTATGCGATGCAACAGATGTGGACTACAGTATGAAGTTAGTGATTATTGACTACAGTGTGAAGTTAGTCGTTATTGGCTACAATGTGAAGTTTTTATTATTTTATTTCCATATTTATATAGAAATAAAATAAAAAATAAAATAAACAGGTGCTTTATATTGATAAATATAAAAATTATTACAAGTTTTTATTTAGTTTCACCCGTCTCATTGTCTGTCTGTAATTAAATCTTACAAGTTAAATTTGACCCACTTCCAATTATCCGATTGAGCTGAAATTTGGAACACACGTTTGACTCTCGTGACTGCACGATTTCCAAAATGCCACCATGTTTAATCCAATACGACGGACGGATGTTACAAAATGGCGATTTATTAATTTCTTATTATATATTTCAAAAAACACATTACTTGAAAAACACATTTTTTTAAATATTTGTCTGTCTGTCTATTTGTTCCGGATAATCTCTGAAACGGCCGGACTGATTTTGACGGGACTTACACTGGAAGATAGCTAATGTTATAGGGCTGATGTTATAGTAACCTATGCTACTTATATTTTAGAAAAAGAATTAGGGTTCCGCTCAAAAAAATTAAAATGTACCCTCGGAGAATTCTGTTGGCACAATCGCTCCTAGCCTTTTGTTTTAATCATTAAAATTACTCCATTAATACCGAATAAAAATCTGTAACATTTTCAGTAGTCAGTGCTCTTATTCTTCACAATTCACATTGACGAAGAGGATTGAGGATCGTGAAATTTTGCGCTATAGTGCTCTTTGAATGACAGCATCAATAGAGCCCGTGCCCCGCCGTGCCAATAATCATAGTATTTCTTTTTTTTTTTGTGAAAAATGTCAAGCAAAATATTATTTACCTATCATCAGCTGTCATATTAATGTCAAAAACATCAAAGGATTTTGACAGTTGACTCTTGTTGATGTTGACAGGATGTCCTTCACTCCTTGTAGACTGCATTATTGTCCCAAATAAGTATTCTGTGGGCGCGTTCGTGTCAAGGAAGTTATTGTCAAATGGTGAATAAATGTCTTTAAAGCCAACAAAAATGCCGTCAGCGACGAAAGATTCTACTATCTTGAAAATTGCCGTGGAAATGCTCAATGCACCCGATAAGGTGCCACAATTGATAGAGTTCGACCAAAGCCAGCCTCTATCCAGTATCATACAACTTTTATGCAAGTCGTGGGGACTTCCTGACCCCGTAAACTACGATTTACAGTTTTCTGAGAGTAATAATCAAAACTACATCACTGAGAAGAATCGCAACGAAATAAAAAATGGATCTGTTCTACGTCTTGAACAATCCCCTGCAAAGACGGTTCAGGATATATTAGCCAAAATCAACACTGGCACAGAGGCCGAACAAATCGCTGCACTAATGAAATTATCCACAGTTAGCAGTGACATTACATTTGCCTTGGAGTTTATCAATAAAAAAGGTTTATCACTCATTATAAATAATATAGAAACGGGCAAGTTTAAAGGGAACTGTTTAAAGTTTGCATTGGTTACTTTTGTGGAACTTATGGATCATGGAATTATATCTTGGGACATATTAGAAAATCAATTTATAAATAAAGTTGTTAGCTTTGTGAGCAACCAAGCAACAGCACAAGACCCAAAGATAATACAGTCATGTCTATCGATTCTTGAAAACATTGTGCTTAACAGTTCGGGGAAAAATTCACATGTTGAAAAAGAAATCACTATTCCAAGTTTAATTTCTCACTTAGAAAATCAAGACAGAATCATTCAACAAAATGCAATTGCTCTTATCAATGCAATATTCTCAAAGGCTGACTTGACAAAAAGAAAAACAATTGCGGCTACATTGTGCTCAAAACAAGTAAGAAATAAAATTTATGAAAACCTTATAACAAAAAATGCCTCAAAAGAGTCACTAGGCACAGAGCTTGCTCACCAACTTTATGTATTACAAACATTGACTTTGGGGTTACTAGAACCCAAAATGCGCCAAAGAGCTGATTCTCAAGAACAAGAGTCTCAAGAAAAAATTAAAGAACTTAGAAAGCTAGCTTTTGATAATGATAACAACACAAATATGGAAGTGACAACAAGACGCCAAACAGGTAGCTTATCAAAGGATTTCAAAAAGCTTGGTTTTAAATGTGAAATTGATCCCATAAAAGACTTTAATGAGACCCCACCGGGTGTTCTAGCTTTAGATTGTATGTTATACTTTGCAAGAAATTATAGAGAGGATTATACAAAAATTGTACTGAGAAATAGCTGTAGGGCTGATGAGCAAGAGTGTCCCTTTGGCAAGACAAGTGTGGAATTAGTGAAGCTGCTTTGTGATATATTACATATAGGTGAACCACCAAGTGAACAGGGACAAACATACCATCCTCTGTTCTTCACTCACGATCATCCATTTGAAGAACTGTTTAGAATCTGCATAGTTCTTTTGAACAAAACCTGGAAGGAAATGAGAGCTACCACTGAAGACTTTGTGAAAGTGTTGAGTGTTGTTAGAGAACAAATAAGCAGAGCATTATCAGCATCTCCTAAAGGTTTTGACAAGTTTAAGCAAAAGATAAAAGAGCTGACATACAATGAGATAACACATCTATGGCAACAGGAACGCACAAATCGTGAAGTGTGGGAGTCTCACGCAAGACCCATTGTAGAGCTCAAAGAAAAAATTACCCCAGAAATTATTGATTTGATTCAACAACAAAGGCTTGGAGTTTTAGTTAATGGAACAAGATTTAAAAAATACATGAAGATTAACAGAAAAGACAAATTTTGGTTTGTCCGCTTGTCACCAAATCACAAAATTTTGCACTATGGTGATTGTGACGAGAAGAATACTCCTAGTTTAGAGGAATTGGGTTCTAAATTAGCTGTGACTGAGATTAAATGTGTAGTTGTGGGTAAAGATTGTCCACATATGAAGGATTTAAAAGGAAAGATAAGCAGTCCACACTTGGCTTTTTCTCTTATATTAAAAGCAGCCGAAGTTCCCTCGTTAGACTTTGTGGCGCAGGATGAGCAGATCTTTGACTACTGGACTGATGGTATTAATGCCTTACTAAAAGAAAAGATGACAAGCAAGTCTTTCGAGAATGATCTAGAAACTCTGCTCTCTATGGATATAAAGGTCAGGCTGCTAGATGCTGAAGGCATTGACATTCCGCAAGACCCACCACAGATTCCACCTGAACCAGAAGATTATGATTTTTATTATGATAATAATTAATCTATGAACAGTGTATGTACATAAGCAATGAAGAGGGAAAACTAAATTTTATTTAGACATAGTTTCCTCATTCCATTTAATCTATTATTTTAATCAAATTTTTAGTATTATTGTTTAAAAGTGATAGCTTGAAACTATTTCTGAAGTATTTTATTCATATGAATTTATATAATCAATTATTATTCTTACTAATATTGTAAGTGCAAAACTGATTTTTTATAAATATTATGACCTTTCATGCTGCAGGTTGACGTCATTTGAGGCATAGAGATAATTCACATAGGATATTTTGGTCCAGAAAAGTTATTTTCAGATTCGATGCCAGGTCGGGTCACTAGCTTTAGATAATAATATTATATTTAAAATAATGAAAAGATATAGTATCAAGTATGAGAGTCATGGTCAGGATTACAAGATTATTTTTTAGAATTCACCGCCACGATTCCACATAAAAAAATATGTTTATACAATTTTATAAGATTGATACACTGCACTGGTTGCTCCTAAGCTTGTGTTTATATTACCATGTTTTATTCACCAAAGATAATTAAATATTAAGTATAATCAATATATTACAAATAAATAAAATATTTTACATAATAAGTCTTTTATTTCTAAAAATAAGATTGCTTAAATTAATTCCAGGGTTTCAAAATGATAATTTTAAGGATAAATAAACATGATAATTATTCAAAAAGTTGGGAGGTCCAGGAGGTGCTATGAAAGCATATTTTTGTAATGACAAGTTACAGCACTAAAGGCCTAAAGGAGTCAAAATGGTGTCAGTTTATAAGAGGATTTTATTGTGCCAAATAAAGAAACCCGACGTAGCGTTTGAGAGAACAGCCAATCTAATAAATGTAATAGTTTTCTGTACATTTAAAAAAATATTCTAAGTGAAGGGAATAGAAATAATGCGCCCGTAAATAAAATTTGCGTAATTTTTGATTAATGAAATATCAGCAATCAGGTGATGGGTTTGTAGTGTATATTTACAGATGGCGCTTTTACTTTTATGAGTTGTGTATCATGGTTCAAAATTATCAAAATAAGTAAGTTTTATTCATTCGAATGCAGTATACATTTTACAATATTTACCATTCGTCAGTTTCCAGTTGCACATACTTATAAAATAAAACAGTTTAACTATTTGCGAATATCAAAATAGTCCAATTTCTTTGTATGTGATGAGGCATCTGTACTAGTATAGTATTATATCATCTGTGGTTCTATGATAGATAATAAAAGAAAAAGAAGTTGTATATACAGATTTTATTTTGAAATATAAAAAGAAGAAACCTACTAATAACTTGAAACATCATAGTACGGTTGAACATATTTGAGTCACCTTTGTAATTATTTTACAAGTATTTTAAAACAACATGTACCTACTTTTTTAACAATACAAGACTTGGTATTATATTTTATATGCATTACTACAGTTGAGGATAGAAAAATTATAGAACAGGTTTGTACTATACATAGAAGTAGATTTAATTTGAACATTTTGTATTGGGTTTAATTTATGAGGCTATAAATGAAACTAAGCACTTAAGACGAATTAAATACATTATTTGATTCATTTTTATTTGGTGAACAATTAGTATGTTTATGCATAAACTTGGGTACACTAAAAAAGGCCAAATAAGTGTACAATACATTTTTATTAAACATTGGACACTGAAGTCACTCTAAGCCAGGCATACTCAACCTTTTTTTTTATAGGAGCCACAAACACGTTTAAGTCATGGTGTCGAGGGCCGCAAGAAAAAATTATTTAGGTCTTAATGATAACGTAATTCCAAGTTAACGATGTAGTTACTTTTTTAACAAAGATATGTTATAATGCGATTTATGATGCTGCCGCACGCGGCCCGCGGGCCGCAGGTTTAGTATAGCTGCAACAATGTCGTTTTCGAATTATAACCATGTGCTACGTTTACTTTAACAATACTTCATTACTTAAGCGAGATCAATATTAACAATTTTTGAAAATTCAACTAAAACCACAAATTGGCCAATCGGGGTCTAATGGTAATCATCAAAAAGTTAGAACCAAAATTTAGTGTGTATTCCGAAATTCCTAAATTGTGCGAAATCATCGTGTCTCAGCCAAACATTGAAATATAAAAACATATATACATATTTACTAGCAAATATCCAATTCAATTCAATTCTTATGTTTGGCTTCTAGGAGTGCTATTTGGGCACCATTTACTTCGCTAATCGCGTAGAATGGAAACAAATATCTATTCAAAAGGAGGCGTCGACATGTGACATTAAGTCAAACCAAAGAATAAAATTCAAAAATTGTAAGTTCTAATTGTCTAAACACAAACTCGAACTTACGCACACCACATAAAGTACTTTTTTAAATGAAACAACGTAATTAAAAGAGATTTGACAAAAGTGACAATTTTGAAATGTGCAAATGTGTTTGTTGAGTTTTTATATATCAATGTATTCAAGACACAATTTATTAATAACTATCATCCAATCTCAATCCTAAATAAAAAATAAAACGTTTGATTTTTTGGGTCCATTTTAGGAATTCCACACTCACTTCAACTCTAACTTAACAATGGTAATACTGAGATAAAAACAGCCAAGGGTTCTCAAACTTTTATTCGACAGTTCCAACTACTGCATCTTGGAGACTTCAAACTTCGTATTGAGCAGTTCCTCATCAGAGTCGAGCACTGGCAGCGCGCTGGCGGGGATGTGCTCCTCCACCCAGCGCAGGTCGGCGTCGGCCTGCGAGCCGTGGCTGTGGGGGTGCGGGGGGTGCGGGGGGTGCGGGGGGTGCGGGGGGTTGGGGGTGCCGTCGCCTTCCGACACGTTCGTTGAGCGCATTTTCACTCCGTATGCGTCGTTCACGAATTGCTCTTCTTCCTCATCTGTTGTGAAATAAAGGTTAGTTTAAAAAAAGCGTTTTGTTTAAGTGATCATCAATAGACACATTCTATAAAAATATTCAAATTTGAAACAAATTATCCATACTAAAATATTATCTAAGCACGTACTAATAAATGTCCTCTGAATAGATTTCGCTCATAGCAACCAATCTCACTGAATCTGATCAACTGCGGAGACATGATAGTACAGTGCAGGAGAAGTGTGAGGGAGAGCGCGACATAACGTGCACTATTTTATTCCTTTCACTCTCACACTCTAGTGTAACGCCAACTCGACACCACTCACCACTCAACTCAAAGGTGTCACTGAAAATTTCTTAATACAAAAATCGAATAACTACACTTTTCCTGACCCGAGATTCGAACCCAGGACCACTGAATTAACCGTCATAAATGCCTACCCACTAGAGCACCGATGCAGAACACCAACCAAACCCAATGTTTGTTCTGTTTAGTGGCTACAGCAAAGACATCGAAATGAATGGCTAGATAAAGGGTCGAGGTTAGTGCTCCATAAAGGTCGAGGTTAAATTTAGATAGAGTAACGGTCGTGGTTAACGGCTAGAGTAAAGGTTCAGACGTGACCATCATCATCCTCCGCGTTGTCCAGCAGCGGCGTGAAGGCGTAGCGCTGGTTGTTGTTGGTGGGGCGCCACAGCACCATGATGGCGGCCAGCACGGCCGCGAACAGCACGTGCCAGTACGCCTCGTCCACCCACACCTGCTTCCACTCCTGAAGACACCACAAACCAGAACAAAACAAATTATAAACAAATAACGGCAGTGGTAGTTCAGTGGTAACGCGCTCGCTTGGGTAATCAAGTGAAGCGGGTTCAAATCCTGAGTCTCGCTCGCACCTCTGATATTTTCATATGCGAATCATTTCAACATGATTATTACTTGTCTGAGAATGTCTGAGAGAACTTAACAAATTATCAAAAGACATGCTCAGTCTGCCATGTGCAGTTGGCCAGCATGGTAAACTAACTAACGGAAACTATATTCATTTATATTGCCCGGACTTTTACTAACACTTTTAAACTAGTATTTATTAATTTAACGGTACCAAAATAAATTACATTACATCTATTCTTTAGATATTCGAAAATGTCTTGTTTAACAGAGATTATAGAGTTATGAGATCATTTATACAATACTTTAAATATTAGAACTCTAAAAGTCATTTTTTGGTGTCTTATGCCCAATTTCACCAACAACCCGTAAGCTACCACCTACGTATGGGATCCCTAGCTTAAAAGTCCCCTAAACTAGCCTCTAAATTAAATTTCGTTTTACGATCGTCTTTAAGCCCATATTTCGAGCACCTAAATTTAGGGGGCCTTTTAATATTTAGGTGACCCCTAACTGTCTGTGAAACAGAAACTGTCCCCTAACAGCCCCCTAACCATGCTTAAAGGATCCCTTAAACTTAGGTGACGTTCGTGAAATCGGGCATTAATGGTGTAATAAAAAAATTACAACTCAAGATAACCACATATACATTTAAAAAAAACTCGTAAGGAACGATAAAGGTATTGTGAAGCCAGCTTATATGTTTAATTAAAGAGTAACATTGGTGGATTTAAAAACTACTAATTTTTCTTTAGTTTTCTTATCTTTATTATTGATTATATTTTTCATCTGTCTTATAATATTTTTTTTGATGTATTTATTATCCACAAACAGTAACTTAAAGCGTATACGTTCTGGGTTTTGGCGCAGAGTGTGCCCTCCATTGAGAGCGCAATTCGTATTATTTCGATATAAACTACATTCTTTGTGGCAATATCTATTCTTATTTGTCTATTACAATGTATGTATGTCGATACTCACGGTGATACAGAACATGATCCTGTAGGACTTGAGCGAGTACAGCATGAAGATGACGGAGGCGACGACGGCGAAGATCAGCGTGTTGGTGAAGTGCTGGTACAGCGACAGCTTGATGTTGTTGCTGGAATAGATACATACATACTAATATTATAAATGTGAAAGTGTTTGTTTGTCCTTCTTTCACGTCGAAATAGAGATTGACCTGATTGTGGGAGATAGTTGGAGAGCCGGAGAGTGACGTAGGCTACATTTCACCGCCGGAGATTATCTCATTCCCACGGGAAAACACGTTATAATACCACCCACAACAGCTCATCATACCTATATAGGTATATATATACCTTATCATACATATATATGTATAAAAAAATCGGTCAATAGTACCAGGATAGCAGGGTAGCATAGATATGAAGCTATGTACTGTGTACATGTGAAGCTCATCGAAGCAGGGCCTGCACAGAGTGCACACGGATTTCTCACAACATACACTCTTCAACACTTAAGATCGCCTGGTGCTTTTGTCACGAGTACTAGGGGGCCACGAACCTCAAAGTGTGTATTGAAGCCCCGTCAGGGTGCATACGAACTTCTTAACACTTATGCTCGCCTGGTACTTGTGATGACGTCACATGGGGTGCTCTTAGTCTACTTCAATACTTCTACATCGCTATTATAAAGAGGAAAGGTTTTGTATTTTTGTAACGGATAAACTCGAAAACTGCTGAACCGATTTACATGAAATTTGGTAAGAAGATAGTTTGAAACCCTGAAAAGGACATGGGATATTTTTTATTCCGGAAATCATCCATTAAGGGGGTGAAAATGGGGATGAAACTTTTTACCTGTCAACTCAAGTGTAAATACTAAAGGGAGATTTAACGACTTACTTCAATACTGGAGTCTAAATCTGTCTCATTATAAAAAATCACCTTCATTATCTTTTCCGTACACGTCAAAAGAAGTATAAGTTCCAAAATGAAAACGCGGCCAAGTCAGACAAGTCGGTGTGTGTGCGTACTCACCGGCGCAGCTGCAGCGTGCGCATGGTGTGCGCCAGCGACACGAACACCCACCAGCAGAGCGCGCTGTCCAGCAGCGACAGCGGCGCCTCGGCCAGCAGCAGCGGGCCGCGCGCGCGCCGCAGCCGCAGCCACGCCTCCAGCGCGCCCAGCGCCGCGTACAGCGCGCCGGCGCCGCCCACGCGCTGCAGCGCCGGGCCCAGGCGCGGCCGCACGATGCCGAAGCCCAGCGACACGATCACCACCAGCATGCGCGCCAGCGCGCGCTTGCCCACCGACACCCACGCCGCGAATATGTACGCCGACGAGTTGAAGTACCTGCGCGCCGAATTCCTCATTAGACAATCGTTCGTTCACAAATAAATTATATACGAAGACGACTGTACTTTCATCGAATAATAAATAAAACTCGATCTTTTATTTCAAATACATATGCAGAAATTATAAACTTAGCAAAATAAATTAAGATCAACCGATATCAAGTATTTTTTTTAAACCATATTTTGCAAAACCAACATTTAGTTTAAAGAGGACACGAATGATTGTTGTTAAAAACGAACAAAAAAATGAATAAAAAAAACTTCATCAAAATCCGGCCAGCCGTTCGGCCGATTCATACGCATCCACGCAAGCACACATACACAGTGCAGTATAAAAAGCAAGACAAAGCGACTCGCCCGGTCCTGTTGATGGCGGAGTAGACGCCGTAGTAGACGGCGGTCTCGGCCATGCCCAGCAGCGCCACGCCGCCGATCCAGTACTGGATGCGCAGCAGGTCGCGCCACTGCGCCGCGCACACCGCCAGCCACGCGCCGCACAGCGCGCAGTACACCCCGCACATCGTGCCGAAGAACTGACGGGATACATGTCAAAGTGTCTTTGTCTGTTTGTCCTTCTTTCACGTCGAAACAGAGTGACGGATTGGTGTGTGTTTTTTTATGGACATAGTTGAGAGGGCTGGAGAGTGACATAGACTACTTTGTACCGCGGGAGATTATCTAATTCCCACGGGAAAACACGTTATAATACAATTCAAACAAATATTTATGATCAAAATTACTTGAAACTTATTAATGCTCTTCAAAAAAATTAAATAAATACATATTTAAGCATTTGACGAAAGTTGGGACATTAACACACAGCACCATCTAGTTCCATGGTAAGCTACGAGGCTTATTTTATGGATACCAGATAGTTGATACACTACATATATATAACTTAACATATAGATGTACATATATATTATAAATATAAACTCCCATGACTAGAGTACAAACATTCGTGCTCATCACACAAATGAATGCACCCAGCGGGACTCGAACCCGCGACCGCGGACACGACACTATAAATTGAACCTTAAAAGCAATGCCTAAAGTTGTCTTCACAAAAAAATAAACATTAAATTAAAAGCGCGTTCAAATGGTCAAATGAGTGCTCATTCGGTGAAGACATTTTTTGTCGCTGAGTGTGTATCTAATACTTTTTTGGTTGATGTCTACTAATCTATATAAACTCCTTTATGGAAATCGTCTAGTATTATTCCCACAGAAATCTTAATAATAAGCTAATAGAAGTGGCATAGACGCGTGACCTTGTAGCCGCGCATGTGACTCGTAGGTCACAAGCGCGTGTAAAGCGTTTGTTGCGGTAATTAGTGTTATTTGAGAAACGGAGAGGTAAACATGGTGTTTTGCAGCATATCCAACTGCGGAAATTCTTCCACAATTTGTAACTTTACAAATAAAGGGATAACATTTCATACATAAGTACTTAATTTTTGAAATAATGTCGTTTTTAAGAAATATAGCCAAATCAAATGTTTTCACCACCACTACTACGATTATCGCAGGAAAACGTTTTTTTTTTCAATTCAATATCCATTACCACTTAAGCTTGTTCATGTCTACTATTACAACTGCTAAAAGCAGCAATGAAATAATAGTCATGCGTAAAGAACAATATCGTCGCGTACGTAAATTCCAAGGACACGCCGCATAAGTTGGCCGCGAATTAGTGACGTGCCACCACTATTTTTTATCGAAAATTTATTACGTTTGGCTTAATATTTTTCGTTAAATATTTAATTGTTACATCTCATTATGTATGTTTTCTTTCTGTCTGAATAATTTATAAAAAGTCATTTATCAACGATTATCTGTAAATTCGTACTTTTAAACTACTTTTTCATTCAGAAAATTATTAGGAGGTAGGCTTATTATTGTTATGTATATGGGTAAGTCAAAAACAGTATGCGTTGAATATCCTTGTATCGTTGACATGTTCCGCATTTACGATTTGATTGAGTAAATAATTCTAAGAAAAACAATATATCGCTGTTGAGTATATAGTAGCTGTTGAGTGTACAACTATATAATAATAAAAAAAAATACTTACTTTTAACGTTTTATTGTATTCCCTTTATGAAAATAAATAAATCGTCTAAAATCGCGTCGAGAAATGAAACATAAAACACTTTCAATAAATTAGTTACCTATTGTTGCAAGACTCAACGGAAAATTATCGATATGAGCATTATGCGCTTTGTGCTGCACTAGAAGTGAGCGCGCGATATCATTCTGTGCTTTTCGCACACGTTTCTTATTGGTCACAGGGATCACGGGTTCTGAGATTATGCGTTTTTTGAAAATATTGCGTAATGTCATCGCTTAAAGTTTAATTTTTGTTGCAACAATGCAAAATGCATGTGTGAGCGATAGTGTGTATTTATTGTTTGTCAATGTGTTGGTAGCTGCAAGCCGGCGACACGCGTCCCAGTACTAAAAGACCGCAATGGCATTTCTATTACCTTATTATTAAGATTTCTGTGATTATTCCTTATCGTGCGGGGAGGGGCTCCCGAGTGTGATACATAATTTTATACGACAGTGGGGAAATGGCTTTAGGGATGACAAATATTACTGTAAATTGCCACAAGATGCCACTACAATGTTTTGACCTCGAAAATGTTTGCCATGAAAATTATAATTTTAATAACCCTTGTATTTTCAAGCATTTATTCTAAAAATTAAAAGCCTACTTTATGGTACACTATGACAGTGGAAAACAACTGTTTTGTAACATGTAATTTAATCTCTCCATAATTATAGGATTTAGTTTTGCCAATTTAATCAATCGAAAATAAGTTAAATCTTAGATTACTAATCTAATACACACCGGCAATAGCGGCCATATAGCCGCTGATAGATACCCCGAAGGCGCCAACATCTCGACGTGCATGGACATGTCGAACGGCTTGTTGCTGCGCACCGACACCCACAGCTCGTAGATACCCTCCCTATCTACTGTGAGAAGGGGTGTCTTCTGCAAAACATGGCACTCTGATCATTTCAAGCATAAACGAATTTTTTTTTTACTTCAATTCAATTTAATTTTCTTGTTAATGTTAAATTTTTTTATTTCAATCTATACAGATAAATGAAATTGAAGCATCTGTTTGTAATGTCAAAACAACAGCTTTTTACTAAATGCATATGAAATGATACATGGTACTTATAAAATACAATTTTTAAAATTTTATCTGTCTGTTTGTTCCGGCTAATCTCCGAAACAGCAGGACTGATTTTGACGGAACTTTCACTGACAGATAGCTGATGTTATAAGGAGTAACTTAAGCTACTTTTATTTTAAAAAACAAGTAGGGTTTCGCTCAAAAATATTAAAAAGAAAAGTAAGTCGCTAGTACATACATATAATATGTAAAGATTAAATTATAAATGACTATAATATCTTCACCTACAAATCTTTTCTAAGGCCTGTTAGATTTTGGTTTTTATTTTCATAACAATAATTAATGTAACTAAAAAAAACAGGTTTATTGATAAAATAATTGTCAGACATGTTGTATTAGTAAGTTAAACCTTTTACTATAGTTACAGTTAATCTTATCTATCCATTATCTTTTTAGGCATATAGCAGTTGTGATCAAATCATTTGATTTGGTCAGTACAACCAAAATCATATAATTTTTAAAAAGTCATTTCTCCCAATAGCTAATTTAATATTTTTTTAAAATCTTTGATAAAAATGTAAACCACATTTTTTGTCTTAAGCAGATATCTATACATATAATAAAATTCTAACTGAGCCGAATCTGTACACTAAATATTTTTTGGAAAATCTTATTAAAATAGACATTATTTTCGATACAGAGGCCGAATCAATAATTTTTAGAATTTTTGTCTGTCTGTTACCGCATCACGGAAAAACCACTGGAGGGATTTTGATGAAATTTGGTATGGTGATAGCTGGTTATCCAGGTCAACATATAGGATACTTTTTACCGCGGGAAAATATCTCATTTCTGAGAAAAAATACAAAAACTGCAATGTAAGAGTATACTAATATGTAAAAACTAAGAATTTGGTTTTTGGTCATCTGAACGCGGGTGGAGCCGCGGGCAGTGCTAGTTATAATATAATAAGTCAAATTTACAATTCGCTAATGTCTCTTGAGCTATACCCAAAAAACCATCACAATTCCAGAAGCATCTTAAATAACTCCATATATTTAAAACGACCAATTATACAAAAACTTTTAACAGAAATAACAAATGATTACTTACAGCCTGAATAATATTCACATTAGGATATTTATTTTTGTTCTGTAGATAGTACACATGCTTGCCAGAGCATGTGATGTGTGTTTCCATTTCATTTAAAAATCGTAAGGAAGTCGAATTATCAAGTTTTGGTTTGTCTAAATTATTTGTGCACTCAACTATTCTCTGAAAAAAAAAAATATGTATATAGATAATAATTATATATCTGCGAATTTATTATTATCTGTTACCTCATTATGTATGAAACATTTAATAGACATTTTAAGGAAAAAAAAAATACTTTCCTTCACACTTTTCACAGCTTTTTAAACATATTATGTACTTAGTATCACATTATATCAATATACATGTATTATTAGTATTTAAGACTGTAATCTATAAAAGAACTGAATAATTTTAGTTCGTACCTGTTCAAAATAATGGAAGTAATCTGGTGAACATGGTGTCCGACTCCATGAATATAGAACTGTGATATTTGAATCCTTTACTCCACAGTTTACTGCAATAAAATACCATATAACATTACTTTATACAACAATTTATCGAGAACAACATTACTGATTAATTAATAACTAATTACATTTTAAATATTGTGACCTTATTTATGGGTGGTTATTGAACAATTGATTAATATTAAGATACTACATTTTTTTAAGCAGTGTATAAAAAAAAATCTTTGTTTATCTGTATGTAGCATTTGAATACCTAAACCATTTACACAATTGCATTGGAATTAATTTGATTGGTTGACAGAATCTGAACCTGTAAAGGATTCAAGCACATTAACACCAGTGGATTGTAAGTTGTGTAATATTTATAATTCTAACTACAATATATGTATGTATGTCATTTTGTTTATTAAAAACAAATCTAGGGTGAGCTTAGAATATAAATATCGCTAGATATTAATTACTCACATGCAATTGTTAATTGTGAATCCTTAAAAAGTGACTTTGCTATTGTAAAATTGCAACTTTCCTGTAACAAATAATAAATTACACAATACAAATTTGAATCATATTTTTAAAACTTACTACTACTATATATATATATATATATATATATATATATATACTATACTATATATATATGAACATATTTTTTTTCCTCCTAGTTTTATCTCAGTATAATAATTCAACTTTAATTTTATCATAACAACTTTAATTCATATCAGCGTTGGTATTACAACTTTAATGTGTAATTATAATTAAATATTTTTGTCAATGTGGAAAATTCAGCCGCTCTTGGCGATAATGAGTCACATTACATATAATGAACATTAGATAAATTTAACAGATTCAACGCGTGATAGAAATTATATTTTCTCATCAGACAAATATAAATAGAGTTTTTTGTATATGAAAAAAACACTTACCCCATTTAGAGGTAAATCCCATTTTCCTACGTCCGAAAAACTGAACGCAACACTAATGAATGTTAGAAACACTAAAACTACATTCGATATCATTTTAAACAATCTATGGAGATAGAATGTCTTAAGGTTATTCTTTACAAGGATATTTATTCCAAAACATTCTTATTTACTTGCTAAGTGCGAAAACAATTTCAAAAAGCTACTATTATAGCACATACCTACTTGACAAAACTTGACATTTGACAAGTGACAACCGTATGACGTGACATCTCAAGTTGAATTCTGAAATAAAATAATTATGAAGTCCTCATTTGACACCAAATTTTTTTATCTGCATGAAAATAATTTATTTCAATAAGTATTATGAACTAAATAATTAATAAAAAGAAAATGATTTACACAGTTTTACAATCCTTTTTATGAATCAGAATTATTTTCAAAGTAGTGCATATCATTTTATTGTATTGTACAAACCTTCTGTAGTATCCGATTTTTTTAACATTATCCGAATTTTCGCGTTGACAGTCTAGATTTGTGCTTCGTTCCGTGTCAAAATATTTTTGTTTTGTTCCTCGTATTTTAATTTTTTAAATGCCTAATATGTAATAATTATAGTATATTTCTTTTATTTTTTATACAAACTATAAGGGACAAATGTAGTTGTGTAGATTAAATGTCATGTTTTGGTGGGTTATTCCTCGTTACTGTTGGTGGTAGTCATGTCAGACTGTGCGCTGGTTGCCAGTGTAAGCGAACACGATGCCAGTATGGATGTGGGAAACGACAAATCCCTATTCGAACCTACTATTGATATGATGGTAAATGATTTCGACGACGAGCGAACATTAGACGAAGAAGAAGCTTTGGCGGCAGGTGAGCATCAGGACCCAAAAGCGGAATTGAATAGTTTGCAACGCGAAGGTGATATGCCATTAGAGGACTTACTCGCATTGTATGGTTATAATAGAAATATGGATAAACCTATTCCAGAGCAACTGCCAGAGGTGGTGCCAGAGGAAAATGAAAAGACAGAGTCAGCTTTGCAGCAGTTGTATAATAATGAAAATGCGAGCCCTGAAGCCACACGGTGCCTAAGGTCTGGTTCGCGACCCCCATCTGAAGAAGAAGATGATTATGATTACAGTCCAGATGAAGATGACTGGAAGAAAACTATAATGGTAGGTAGTGATTATCAAGCTGGCATTCCAGAGGGACTATGTAGTTATGATGATGCTTTACCATATGAAAATGAAGACAAATTGTTGTGGAACCCTAGTGTTCTTGAAGAAGATGTAATTGAGGACTATATGAGAAAAATTTGTGCTATGAATTCTGGATCTGGTATTGATGCTGTACCTCGAGGGAAACAACTGCGTGATGATGAGGAGGCTTTGTTTTTATTGCAGCAATGTGGCCACAACATAGAAGAAGCTTTGAGGAGACGAAGGATTTCAGCACAAACTCCTGCACATGCTAGTGTATGGTCTGAAGAGGAATGTCGAAACTTTGAAAATGGAATCAAAGTTCATGGTAAGGACTTTCATCTTATACGTCAACAAAAAGTCCGAACTAGATCTGTGGGAGAGCTGGTCCAGTTCTACTATATATGGAAAAAAACAGAAAGACATGATATATTTGCAAACAAAACAAGATTAGAAAAGAAAAAATACACATTGCATCCAGGTCATACTGATTACATGGATAGATTTTTAGAGGAACAAGAAGCAACAGGTCCAAGTGTGGTCAGGCCAGTATCCCCAGCTCCAATGATGTTGTATGTACCTTCACCAGCTACACAACCTGATCCTTTAGCTCTTGGGGAGAAGGAAGTGTTTTCTCAACTTAATACTCACACTACGCCTCCAAGAAACCTTTCCACTGAGGAAATGGAACCAGATACAATTTCCTAATACATGTACTTTTGGCTACGCCATATATCATGTAGAATGCACTGTTTGTGACATAATTGTGGAAAGAGAAAATTGCTGCTCCTTTATTCATATGTTTATTATTTAAGCAGTTTTTAAGGGACTTAACTTTTTATATGGATAGGGCAGTGTAAATAATTATTGATACTTTTAATTATGAATAAGGGAAAAGCAATAGAGGCACATGTTGTAATTTGCAACTTTTATGAAATGTTGCCATTTGGAAAGTTATGTATACTTTTGTGATGTTCAAACATCAGGTTTATGTCAGATTTGCTGTCTCATTAAAATGCACTAACTTCTCAACCAAAATAATTGAACTTCTCATATATTCTATACTGTAGTATAATCTTAACTATACCTCTAAATAGTTCCTTATTAAAAGAAAAAATATATATATTTAAGAATTATCAACTTAATATGTAGATATTATTTAAAAAATATATTTTACTTTTTCTACCTTTGTCCATAGATCTCCTTTTATGCATGGAACAAATGCAGAGTGACTTGAAAATTTCATCAAAATCCGTCCACAATATAAAAAGTTAAAACATATTTGTAAAGTTTATTTTAATTTATAAATAGCTTAGAATTGTATAAATAATTAAAATATTACATAAAATGAAGTATTTATTCTGGTTGAGAAGTTATAAACAAACAACAGTGTAAATATTTACATAGATGTAGCTGCTACTATAAGTGGGTGATAATACGAACCTGATATGACTAATGAAATTTCAATTGAGTATGAAATTTTTAACATAAGAATAAGTAAAAATTGTGACTCATTCAGTCACAAATAGTAAAGAGTGAAATTATTAACACAAACATATTATGTACTAAAATATCATTTAACATCCCTCATTATATTTATACTGGTATGACTCCAAATTATTTACGTTCCAACCATACTGGCTACTGATTGTTGATCAATATTATTTATTTAAATTATCAATCAAAATGCTAAAACGGAACACACTACACATTGGTAAACTTGAAAAACTTCATATTCAATTTTTTTATTAAATCATTAATTGTGAACTACCCACAATAATTAGATACAATTTTTACAGTATTTTATTTCATAATTGTTCATAATAATAATTATTATTTAATGATGAATATTGTTTATTTTTATTTAATATTAAGCAGACTAGAGACAGATAGTGTTTAGTAAAATTTTGTATTTGCTATTAGATATTTTGCTATTCTAATTGCAACTTTTTTTTTAATTATATTTATTTAATAATATTGTTTTATGACTAATTAATCAGTGATTTTTAGCTTAAATTAAGTTTTATTTTATTGACACATTTTCATTTCATTAATTTGTTAAATAATATGATTAATAAAATATAAAGCATATCAAGAGGGGCAAAATTTTATTTACTATGTTTTGTGTAATGGATATTAGATTATATATATTTATTGGTTCAATAATAACTAAATAGATATATAATCTGGGATCTATTGCAATAAAAAAACTTTAATGTTTTTATTCACTTTTATAATGAAAACATTATATAATTTTAATTAAGTATTTCTTAAATAGATTGGTTTTTTATTGTGTTTTGTAACTCGGAGAAGCAGAATTAAGTAATTCTTACTTAGGATAATGCTATCAAAATTGATGCAACAAGTTATTTCACACATTTTTATTTTTTAAGTTAACATTTTATATCATAAAGCATTTTGTATGGATGTGATATTTTTGATTTTGCAAATTTAATATTGCATTTGAAGACTGGTTGAAGGGAATGCAATAAATGCCTACATAAGTACAAACTGCTGTTTGTGTTATATTTGCACGATTAAATATAAATTTTGTACGTTTAGCGCATAGACAATGGTGTAAAAATCGAGATTTAAGAATAAACAGTGCAAACCAGTAATTGGTGTTGTTTTATTACATTTTATTATATCCATTCGTTCTATTTCTTTATTTTTAATGTAGCAGGTAAATTATAAAATAAGAAAATATTAATTGGCAAAAATGTTTAAATTTTACTATATCCTATAACACTAGATGGCGTTGTTAATAAATATACGTTTTTTATAAAAAGTTACAAAAGGTCGCTCAACCTTAAAACATTAAAAATATCAAATAAATTACAATATTTCAAAATTCTACAAGATTCAGAGTTTGGCGGTCCCTTACGTTTTGGTAAACTCATAGAGAACTGCCTCATAACTAAGGCAGTAGTAGCCCACTGGTAACGTGCACGCTTGCAAAATCGAGTGAAGCTGGTTCAAATCCCGGGTCTCGCACCTCTAGTATTAATTTTCATGTGCGAATCATTTCCAATATGGTTACCTACCACTTGCCTTACGGTAAAGGAAAACATCGTGAAGAAACTTGCATGTCTGAGAGAACCTAGCAAGTTTTGAAAAGACATGTGAAGTCCGCCAACCCGTACTCAGCCAGCGTGGTGGACTATGGCCTGATCCCCCTCGTATTGAATGGAGGCCCGTGCCCAGCTGTGGGACGTGTTAGAAAGAGCTGAATACATACATAGAGAACTATTACTATTTGGAAGTAAACTATAAAACTAAACACGTTTTTCTATCGCTTGCAAATAACTTTAAGTAATTAAACTTTGAAAGTCGATTTTAACGTACTTCCAATAATCGTATCGATTATAAACTTTGTAAGTATACGGATTGCGGATGACGGTATATGATAATACAATAATTTAATTGCATGAATTGATCTGAGAAACCAGGATATGAATAGTCTCTTTATTGTCAACCAAATCTTTTTTGGTTTGATTTGAAAGATTGGTTAAGACCATCGGTTTGGGCAGCCCTTGAACTCATCAAAATTAATTAAATTATAAGTAATTTAATTATTTTTGACGAGTCCTATCTGTAATTTAATAAAATTCTAACTGCAGAGTCAAATCTGTACATTAAATATTTTTTGGAAAAGACATTTTTGTTGATACTGACGCCGAATCTTAGAATTTTTGTCTGTCTGTCTATCTGTGGCCGCATCACAAAACCACAGGACAGATTTTGATAAAATTTGATACAATGATAGCTGGTCATCCGAATCGACGTATAGGATACTTTTTACTGCGGGAAAATACCTTATCTCTGACCCTCATACAATATTACATATTTTGGTCGTTAACGTAGTTTAGATTATTAAAATAGGTACTTTTAAATATATTTTAAAGAATGTAAGAATTAAATGAAGAATTGAATTGAAGAATTTTAAAGAATGCAATGTAATAATTCATTAATTAAAAATATTATGTTACTGTATATTATGTGTATACTGTATATTTCTGTTTTTTTATTTGTATAGGCTACGACCGTTACCTTTTATTTTAAAACGAATTTTAATAATTAAAATAACGTTTTATCGTCGCTCGTGAAGACTGAAAAACAATGAATCTTCTTGCTTTCTTTAATTTCTAGACTTAAATTGTCTGTTTATGGTTCTTCATTTATTACATAGATTAAATAAAAGTCTAATCTTGTTTTATATTTCCATTTTTGTGCCCAGTATTTTCTATTTTGTTATTTGTTATTACCATGGATAACAAATAAAGGTTATTGCCTACCAGCTACCTATTTGGCGGCATGTTTTATTGGTTGTAAAATGGAAAAAAATATTGGTTGTAAAATCGAAAAAATAAATATTGACAAATGACAATTGACATGTGTTGTGACAGGCGACAGCTTAATTTAATCTTCTGATTTCAGCGAACCAAAGTAGCTTGAAAATTCGCATTTCAATTTTTACTAAAATCGTTATTTACTAATGATAGGAAACAACTTGGCTCTACAGTGAATTAAAATCTAACTGTGATTATAGTTTCCATGATATTTAAAAGGAGTTTTTGTAAATAACTATATTTTAAATAGAATATGATAGTCACATCCGATATGTCTGCGAAAGAATTTATTAACGATTTTAAAGAAAATTATGGGAAAGTCAGAAAATTATTGGATGAAGACAGTAAGAATGATCCTGAACATGAGCCGTACTCTTCGAAATATAAGGCAAGGGATATATTGAACAACATGCGCAATGCATTGTCAAGGGTATCTAATACTGAAATGAGTTTAGATCAATTGAAATTGGATGCTATGCTCGGTGTTGTTTTATTAAATATAGGAATTATCGACATGGAAACAGAGGAACTTACTGCAAGTGAGCAAGTACTGAGGGAAGCTGAAGACCTTCTTACCCCAAATTCATCTAAACCCGAAATTGTAACCACCCTAATTAACATTGAAAACAACCTTGGTATATTGTGGTCGAATCGAGATGAACCTGCTAAAGCAAAATTATTTCTGCTTAAAGCCAAATCATTGTATGAAGATTTTAAATGCACTTTACAAATGCCATTATCCATTGAAAACATCATTAGTAGTACTGGCGAAACAGTAACAGGAGATTTCATGTTCCTAGAAAAAGCTCATACCTTATCTTTGTATTACTTAGCTCAAGTATATGGTTCTTTGAAGGAAAATTTAAAATCTGCTGTATATTGTCATGTCACATTAAGGAGGCAACTCCAATACTCTGACTATGAGCCAATAGAGTGGTCACTTAATTCTGCAACATTATCTCAATTCTTTGCTGAGCAGAATGGTTTTTTCCAGTCTAGACATCATCTTGCAGCAGCATCAACTATATTAGAACAATATGAAGCAACATTACTACAATCAGAGAGCAATGATGATGTATTTTTGGCTAAAAAAGAAACTTTCAAACATAGATCTGCTGATGTTGCAAGATGCTGGGCTAAATACTGTCTTTTGCTTATGACGGCTTCTAAAGCGAGACTTATGAGTGATACAGAACAAATGAGTGATGCAATAACAGGTATGAAATATTTTTAAGAATGGTATTTAATTTATACAAAATTGTATAAGCATGATGATATCATAATAATAAAATCTTTTTCAAAATATTATCTTTATCAATATGTTATATTATTTTCAGATATGTCTAATTTAGAATTGGAAGACGATGAAAACATTTGTGGTGGGGACATAAAAAAATTAGTTTTTCCTGACTTAGATGTCACTAAATATGAAAACAAAATTGGTGATAAGTTTCTTTTAACATATCAAGACTCTAGAGAAGTTTTCTTAAGTTGCCAAAGTTGGTTAAATAAAGCTAAAGAATATTATAAGCTGGATTCCTTAGCATCTGACTATATTGAGCTCATACAAGACAGTTCCCAGTCATATTCATACCTTGCTTTCTTTGAAGAAGATGATGAACGAAGGGCAAAAATGCACAAAAGACGAATTGATATGCTCGAGGATTTAATAAAAGAAATTAATCCAACCTATTATCTACAGTATTGCAGACAGCTGTGGTATGAATTAGGGGAAGTGTACTCAGAAATTTTGAACATAAAATTAGACAAACTTAACAAGTCTAATGAAAAGCCCACACCTCATATATTGAAAAAAATTAATATGTTATGTGAAAAAAGTATTGAAAACTATGACCATTTCCTAGATTCTGTTAAAGACAAAAATGGACAAATGCCTTTGAAATTGGAATTTGATGTGATAAGGCCAGTTATTAGTGCATATGCTTTTATTGGACGGAACAGTATGAAAAGGATTGCAGTAGACAAAAATGTTCAACTAAGTCACGTTAAAAAAAGCTACGACTCCTATCAAGGTGTAGTGGATATTTGTAAAAATGACAAAGAAGCTGCAACAATGATGAAAGAGGAATACAGCCTGTGTCAAGAGATGGTGAATATTCTGCCCATAAAAATTAAAAAGATGGAAACTGAACTCTCTGCTCAGAATTTGTAATTTGGAATACATTAAACACAGATTAATCAGTTTAGAAAAAACCTTTAAGACAGTAAAACTGTTTAGTCTTTAGCTTTGCCTAAATCAGTAGGAGTCACACAATATTCATAGAATGAACTGCATAATATTGATTACTAAACTTTGCCTTAATGAGACGGGTGATTATAAATAGTACAAGCTATTCATTCTAAATGATTTTATTTTGTTATCAATTTGAATTGTTTTATTCCTACAACCAAGTATGCAAAAGAAAAAAGTGAACATTAAAACAATATTTGTGAGTATTATTTATACTTAGTTTAACATCTCCAGGTAAATTTCTAAGTAATCTATTGTTAACAGTAACACCGGCGTGTTCGCGGTCGTGGAGGGACTAATTAATATTATATATTTTGGCACTACATCTACAAGCACTTATGATCACTTGCCTGTTTATATTTTTTAATATGTATTGTTATAAAAATTTACCAGGTTTATAATCATGTGCTATTTTATTCCCATAATGCATATATTTGGCTGTTGCTTACATAATGGTTAATTCATAATCTCATTTTAATAAAGCATTAAAATACAGTTACTTATACTATTTTTTATTTAATATAATATTAAATATATTTACTATATTCCTAAAGTTTACAATGATACTGTTACATAAAAATACTACATTAAATGTCTGTATGTAATATTAAATTGATAAAAATATATAATTAAAAAGAATCTATTTAAATTAATAATTTTTAAATATTTGATGGACTTCATACTGCTATAGTATGCAAGTATAACTGTGCCAATCTAAAATGCAAAGGGCTGCTAATATTTATAGCTCAAGCTCTCTAAACTGCTGGATTTATAACTCTAGTTTCAGAGTGGTACAGTTATAACGAGTTACATTTTTGAGTTTTTAGCATATTATTATTTATGCACCAGCATTTTCATCTTCGTCAGCAAGTTGAGTTAGTAAAGAATCTATAGTCCACACCATATCTGCTGTATCTGACTCTACAGGAGGTATATAAGACTTGAGCACTTCCAATGCAGCATCTATGCCTTCTACTGAACCACTCACGCCAACTTCAGTTAGAGCATTAACAGTTTCAGTGTCTTGATGAATTGGCCTTAAATAATAAAGAAATTAAAGTGTTATTTTGTATATAGATTACGATGTTCTTATATAAATATAATAACAATAGTTTAAATAGGAGCTTTATTAGTTGTTTGTAAAAGGACTTACACTGAAGGTTTAGATATTTCCTTTTCAAAAATATCCTGCAGGTCATCTAAATCGGGAATAGTAGGAATATCGTCAATGGATTCAGGTGACTTTTTGGGCAATACATATTCACTGAAATTAAACAAGTAGATATATTTATTAGAATCTTATATAGCATAAAAGTGTTAAAACTAAGTAAAATTCTGTTAAAACCATGTTATTTTTTAGATTTAAATAGCAATTATATATCACCGAGTTTCTATAGGTGCACCTTCTGTCCAAACACCGACTTTTCTGGGTTCTGGGGCATTTGAATTAAAAGGATCGCTCATTTTATCAATTATTTGTTAATGTATACGATTAATTATTCAAACTAATGAGATATTAATTTGATTTATTGCTAGATTTTAGTTTGTTTACATTATGAGTTATGACAACAATCAGTTGACAAGACAACGTGTTGCCATCCTAATAAAGGAAAATTCTATTTAATTTATCGATTTGAAGCCATTAACTTAATTTTTAGTGAGCTTAAACTAGCTTCTATTGAAAATACACTGTATGAACACAACTCCATAAGGTACGCCTTTGATTTTCACAGAAATGCTATTAAATGCAAGGGTTGTTAAAAATATCAATTTTCATTTAAAATTAAAGCACTCTATATAGTGACATCTCTTGGCAAGTGTTGAAAGAGTTTTAAACAATATAGGTACTTTTATTTGTCATCCATGATAGGTACATATAGTCTGATTTTTAATTCGACGGAATTCTGACATTTCAGAAGTGCTGTCAACTTTGAAACATTGTCACTAAAAACGGAAACTGGAAAGCATTTTAGCAAAATAAAAAAATAAACCTTTCTTGAAATTAAGGTTTCAATTAGAAAAACTAAGATTTAAAAAATTATTGATAACTCTAAAATGGTAATTTTTTTTTTTTATTGAAGTTACAATAATTATTAAGGAAATTATTTTTCTATTACAGGAAATCAGGATCCCTGTTCTATAATCCATAGGTTGCAAGCCTTTTTTAGTAAAACCCCGTTGTAAAATATTTTGTGTTAAATAAAACTATCTTTTCGGATTTTGTCGCGGATTTATTTGCATTTTTGTTTCCCGACGTTTCGAATGCTTTACAGCATCCATGGTCACGGGAGAGACTGAGGTGTTACATGTCTTGGAGGTATAATTGTTATAGACAGCCTACCCACAATTATTTTTGTTAAATCGCGACAAAATCCGAAAAGATAGTTTTATTTAAAATGTCAAATATTCGCGTAAATCTAAGAAAGTATTATATTTTGTTTTACTCTGTTTTATTCATTTAACCATTAAAAGTTTACATTATAGTTAGCGTGCATTGATTGCATAAAACAAAGACTATTTACAATGTCATACATATAGTTTACTAGATCTAATTGTTTCATATTATTTGTTATTTTATATTAAAAAAATACAAAGCAGAAAAGGTTTATGATATCTGAATTGTCAAAGAATGATAGCCGTCATATTTGCGTGGAATATAGCGTCAGACATATTTACATATTACATAGTACATTTAAACACATAGTCCTCTTTCGGGCTTCGCCGCAGTCGGGTAAAAATTTAAAAATAAAAAAAATATGCGCCCAATTAATGAAACTCAATATCTTTATCGTCAAAAATTTATTTTTATGGTATCAAATGACAACAATCGTTTTAACTTAACACATTAAATGCGTACTTATATTATTGCACAAAAAAAAAACAATAATTAATTGTTATGTGTTGGTTACGTTGAGGCTCAGCTTAATAGATCAAATAGAACAATTTCAATATAATAAGAAGTAATATATTATTCATTACGAGAGATTTGTTTATTTTCAGAAGTAATGAAATATATATTATTAAAGTAAGCTTTTTAGTGATTTAAAATATATATTACAATGAATAATATAAGTTTCATAATTTAATTAAGATAGTGTCGGTAAGTGCTATGTAAAAGTATGATACCTTTTTATTTGGTAATAAATCATAACCGTAAGTTCAAATTAACCATTTCTTAAAATATGTTCGTTTTTAGAAAAAAAAATATAGATAAAAATCACATTAAAATCTCTTTTATAATAGTATATAAATCTCTTAAAAATTAGCAAATACATAACAGATGCTCGTAGTTAATTTAGTTTTGCTGTTGAATATTTTGTTAATGTTTTAGAATATAGGCACATCTTTTGTTCTATTCTATTATAAATAAAATGATATAAAGGAAAATTGTCCACCATTAACTTTTTAAGTACTAATTTCTTATTATTGTATTTGCTAATAACACATTTAACATCATAAAATCTCATGTTTGTCATAAAAAAATGTCAGCTCCTAATTTTTCATAAAAAATATTTATTTTCAAAAACTGTCATATTGCTCAATTGTTACAGATGATACAATGAACTATAAAGATTAACCCATTTTTTTGCAGTTTTTAAATAAAATTCTCATTTCTATCTGAATTTGTCAATGAATTCCAAATAGTCATTTCTAAGCTAGTAGAATTGGTATTGGAATGATCACAATAATCTTCAACGGCGTCATATTAAAATATGTATATATGTATATAAAATATTATGTTATCGTTTATACTATATAGTACAGAGTGTAGACTGTACTTTTTTGTTATCAGCAAAATTGTTTGGTATACTTTATGTATGTCAAATTTTTACTTTAGAATTGCAGCAAAAAAAAATTAAGAGTATAACTAAACAATTCTGTACACATTTTGTGATGTGTGTAGTGAAATAAATGAACTGATCCTTATACATAACATTATATGCTTAAAAAAATTTCCATCTTTTATAAAGATTTTTGTCCAAAATACTAATAATACAAAAACAACCATAATTTCATTTAAGATCACAATGTTTACAAAATCAATTGACAAAAAAATGTCAGTGTCCAAAACTTTAAGTCTTCAAGATTTTCTTACTTTTTCAACTACATCTCTATTAAGTCACATCACTATTCAACACTTGGTAACCAAAAACACTATTTTAAATTAAATCTCTATCCATGAATACCTCTGAACGTCTCTACACTTACAATTAGTAAATTTCTTTTTTACACTAAATAAAAGTTTTCAAATTCAACAATGTTTGAAGAAGCTGTCATTAATTTTTAATGGAGTCATTAATTAATTAATGGTAATGCTAAAAAGTTCTACACACTTTAAAAAGATTCACTATCACATAATTTGACCACCGAGTGCAGTTTTGTTTAGTTCACATTTAATGGAGTAAATCACTAGTGGATAGTCTATTGAGGCTGTCACTAAGGTCTGGCCCACGGTCCAGAAGGGAGGAGAGTCCGGAGAGCTCTCCGGAGTTCAGTTGGGGGATGCCTTCCCCTCGGTCCATTAGGAGACCTGTCAGTGAGGGAGTGTCACTTGTGCCGGCTGTCTCCATCAGATCTTGTTGGTGCAACTGGAAGTTATTACTTTTTATATAAGAGAAGTAAGAATTTATTAAAGTTAGTCAGTGTATTGTAAAATATTTATTATTTTTAAAGTGAAAACTTCTATAGGCAGGTTTGGAGGGGGAGTAAATTCATGTAAGTCGTCATCGACATGGTCACGTGATGTGTTAACGCTAACACTCGGAGTGCCGATAGATGTCAAAACCAGATAAATGTAAACAGTTTTAATTTACAAATTTTGATTTAAATCTAACAATTAATTTGAATATCTAAAAAGAACATCTGTTTGTTTAGTTTTAAGTTTTCACATCTGTCGGCAGTCCTCATTCATGACTGCTTTTTTTTATTTATTAGTATTGTTTACTTCCTAGCAAAATTTTCAACAATATCAATCAAAATATTGAAGAAATTAAAAACTAAATAAATTTCAAATGAAATTAACATAATATACTTAAATAAAATAATTTGATAAAACTGACCTGTTGTTGTTGCATTACATTGGGGGATATATGGCCCATGCCAGGGGACATGTGGCCCACTCCGGGAGACGCGTGGCTCATGGCCGGCGACACGTGGCCCATGGCGGGGGACACGTGGCCCATGTTGGGGGACACGCCCCCGTGCATAGGGGAGATTCGGCCCATCGTGCCTATAGACGAGATCGTGTGGACGTTTGGGGATAAGGGTTGCAAGCCGGGGGAAATAGACTGCATATTGGAGGGAAGGGGGTGCAAGTTTGCCTGAATGTTTTGTAGGTTTGTCATAGACGACATGGGCATGTTGGTTGAAACTCCTTGCATGTTGGATGTTAGTTGCATGTAGTTTTGATTCCATTGCATATCCTGGTTGTAGTTCATGTGGACCGACCCAGCGATGGGCAAGGCAGATGGCATTTCCCACTAAAACAAAAAAAAAAATAAAGTTGATGCCACATTACATAATTTATAAAATATATTCAAAAGAATATTAATTGTGAAATTAACATTGTAAGGAGACAACAACCTGGTAAGGAGTTTCTTGTACTTGCTCCTGTTCATAGCTGGGTGAGAAAACTCGCAAGGGGCTGCTTAAATGATGCGGCGAAGATTTATCTGTGGAACATAATACAGTTAAAAATCTTGCCTTATCATTATAGAATGAAGTTGTTCAAAGCATTTAATAATTTTCGTACTGTAAAGGAGTTCTTAATGTTTGCATTTATAAAAATAAAATAACTAAATATCAATTAATACATACCTCTTGGTTCTGACTTAATGTGGTCGTTGCCGAATCCTGAAAAATATAATATTTTAGAAAAAAACGTCACTATGGAATATATTTAGATGAATAATTATAAAATCATACCAAAACACAAAACAACGAAATAACATTAAAACTATTCTTATCTATTCAAATGAAAAACAATGAAAATAATACTATGAAATAAGAATAGATTAATGTTATTTCAAATATTATGAAAAAAAATCACATGCACATTTGAGGGTGAAAAAAAAAAATTATAATCACAACATGAAATCAAGAAATTTTATAGAATAATAAAATACTAATTTATATGACAGGATGCCATTGTATTTTACTTAAAATAATAAGAGGTATTTTTCTTGGTTTCCGGTTGTGTATTATACATATAATAAAAACATAAAACAGACAACATGCAACAACAACAAAATAAATAAAAAATACGCTTATTTGCATATGTGTGTTAAATAATAAAAAAAAACATAAAGCCTACAAAACTAAAAAAAAAATAGGTCACAAAACAATATATATAAGTGGATCTTTTCTCAAAAAATACCGTTTGTGTCTTACTTTTTAACTAAAAAGAGAAACGAAAAAAAAAAACTAGCTTCACAACAAACTGAACATCAATACACATCCATGCTATAAAATGTGACTGTACCTTTTCAAATTTAAGTAGAGTTTTGCAAGGAGTAAGAAAAAACTGTATTTGCTCTTATTTTATTAGCATTATAATGTAATGTACACGCATCCAAGCTACGCTTTTTCATATATCTCTTTCAGTTGTAAAATTATACAAAAATTTTATACTTCAATCGCAAAAATTCACATTAAATTTTTGAGACTAAAACGGCACAATATATCATTTTGTATCAAAATTTTATATTATACAGGTGGTTGTAAAATCATCTAAAGCGTTATTTTACACATTTTCAATGTGATATGTTCATTTAACTATTTAGTCCTATTTTATTTTACATATCTAAGAGCTGATGCTAAAGAAAAATAAAGAAGATTTATAAATTAATTAGTAATTTTATAACCTAGTAAAAGCTTTTTAGAAATTCTGTCATATTATATTGTACTGAATGAAGGCTTTAATAATAAAAAATTTTATTCGTTCTGCTTCTATTTGTTGTAAATTGAAAAATTTACAAAAAATATTTGAATCCTATAAATGTACCAATAAAAACAAGGCGCTACGCTACAATACGCAAATTGCACTAAACAAAACACTATCCATATATAAATAGTACAAAATGTATTTATAAAACCGTTTAACAACCAAATTGGAAAGAAGGATTTACATTACACCTTTCTGTGATCCTAATGGTAGAGCCACACTAAAGTTAACGCATATTAACGCAAGAAGCGATAAATAATATGTTGGGACATTGACACACAGCACTATCTAGTTCCATTGTAAGCTACGAGGCTTGTGTTATGGATACCAGATAGTTGATACACTACACATATATAACTTTAAATACATACATATAAATATAAACACACATGATTGGAGTACATACGTTCGTGCTCAACACACAAATGAATGCCCCCAGCAGAACCCGAACCCGCGACCGCTGGCACAGCAAGTACTACACTACAAACTGAGCCAAACGTGTCGTTAAATTTACAAATTAGAATGTTTAGTGAGTAGCCACACCAGCCATGTTATTGTTGGGGCGACTTATTGAGTATTAAAAAAATGGAAGTTTAGCATTATTTATAGTTTTAAACGTTAACGCGTTAAATTGACCGTCATACGAGTTGCATAACGACATTATAAATGCCCTTATAAAAGTTAAAGCCTTAGTGTGGCCCTAGTTTGGGACAGACTATATTAAATTTACTTTAAACAAAAATTAAGCAAAAATTTAATTCTGTATAGTTTAATAAAAAGACGTATAATTACACTTCTAAAAAACGTATGATCTGATTTTTGAAATTAGCCGCCAGTACGTAAATGCAAACTATACAGGTTACATATACAGGATGTTGGAAAAAGAAAATCTTAAAAATAAGTAACCTATCTATGAAAAAAAAATACATATTCTATACAACGAAATGCACACAAATACTCCAAGTAGAAGAATCATGACTTCTTTTTTTTAAATATAAAACAATTATTTTTATACAACAAATCTTTTTTTTTATTTATAAATAAAAATTAATTAATAGATAATAACATTTAAACACACATATTCACATTAGCATATTTTCTATTTGTATATAACCTAAAGCATATTACACTGTACACAGCGATACTTTTAGATAATATACTTAGGCATACATTAGTTTGATGGTAATTAATATTATACAGTCAATTTAGGCTTATTTTTAACTTTATTTAAAAATATTTAAATTTGAAACGATAAATTGGTTTATAATTAAGTTTATATTATCGAAATTAATGTTAGCAATAAAAAAAAATCACCCCAATTGACTGTGGGAATAATAAGTTTTATTTTTATATAAATACATATATCCAGGTATATATATGGAGATAAAATATTGTTTGTTGAACAAAAATATTGACTAGATGTTAACTGTGACGGATTTTTGTTGGAACGAGTTGAACTCGTCTTATAATTTATTTTATCTTTGAAGCACCATTTTATTATTAAAAGTAATACTTTAACAATACCTACATTAATTAATAAATTAAAAATTATTATTCCTAAAACTGTTATAAACATTCATTGAAACTCAACTTCAAGTGAATTTAAATAATAACAACGAATTAAGCTATTTGAAAAATTTAAAATACAACATTTGTTTATCTAACTTTGCACTAAACAAAAATAAAATTGACAAAAATTACAGTTATAATTTTGACATATTTTTTTTTAATTTTTTAGCTGAAAAATATACCAAAGATAATTGTCTATACGACTTATCTTAAAAAGTATCTAAAAACCTAAAAAAAAAACACCGTGATCAAGCAGACCGCCACCATAATCGACGCCGGATATAATAGCTATGAACCCAATAAGATATAAATGAAAGATATATAATATACTTATGTATGTACAATATTATAGTTTTTATTGTACATACAAAAATCATGTATACAGAGTGATCACAAGCATTTATATAATCACTAAAAAACTAAAAAATAATTTTCTAAGCAAAATTATTTAAAGAATTTTTAGTGAAATTATATGTACTCATATTTTTATTATATACGCATTTAATTGTATTTTTATATATTTTAATTATTTTCTTTTATTCTTTAAAAAGTAAACACTCTGTATAAATGATTATTGGATATACTCTCATTAAAACAAAATTGGTTTTAATATATGCAAAAAACAATAGTTTTCTAAATATATTTGAACCAATTGAGTTCTAAAAAGAGTATTTCATATGCAAATCATATAAGACACTTACTGTCCTGATCATACATCGGCAGAGTGGGCGACAACGTCTTCTGTCGCTTATGTTTTAAATAACTCGTATCTAAAAACATGGTGAACGATAAGTAAATTAAAAATATACATAATTATAGTATAATCGCGGGTTCGATTCTTAACAGGTGCATAAAACACAATGCACAAATTAAATTCTCAGCTCTCATAAATTTTCAATAACATGTTTACTTTTATATTTACTAAAGTTGTCGCGTTTAAGACATTTCAAATTAAAGCCTTATTTCTACTGCATAGAAAAGTTCTACAGAAAACTTGGCAAAATGGGCGGAGTATGACTTGTTATCTATTATCTTTAAGATATACTCGTAAATCTTAACGTCTAGATAAATATATGTAAGTCACATCGACTTGTTTATTAATTCTGTACACCTCTTGAGGTTCTCTCACGCGAAGCCGATAGAGATAAAAAAGTATCGACGACTATAACACGCAAGGGCTTTTATTCGTTTGAATAAAAGTACTGAAATGTGCCGAAATGTTTTTCCTTTAAAACCTTGCCCGATAACCGACGATCGAAAGAAAATGAAGACCTAACATTTCGGCTCATTTCACCGCAACCCGAACTTCACGTACGAACAGAATCAATTGTGAAACTTGCTGCCGTCCACCGGGGAATAATAGCAGCTGGTTTCGTCGAATTCCGAGACGGTGGCGTGCGGCGCCACCGCCATGTAGAGGGCGTAGTGCTCCGCGTCGGTGAGGTCGAGGTCGTCCTGCAGCTTGCGGAAGGCGGAGGCGTCCAGCGCCAGCACGCTCTCGGCCACCAGGATGGTGCCGGCGGCGGGCGGCGGCGCCAGGCTGGGCCGCGACGCGCGCGCCTCCGCCTCGCCGTGCAGCGAGATGTGCGTCACGCTGTCCGCGTAGCTCAGGCCCGCGCCCGACGCGCTGTCCTTCAGCGACGCGTGCGACACCGACGACTTGAACTTGGAGGGGCGCAGCCCCGACACGCTGCTCACCGACCGCCCGACCGGTTTGGACTTCGCGTCCTTCTTGCCCTCGGACTTGACGCTGGGCGCGGGCGATTTCTCCTTTCTACGGAACAGACGCGAGAAGAACGAACGTTTCTTGGGCGCGGGCGGCAGCGCGGGCTCGCTGCGAGCCACCGTCAGTTGGGGCTTCGGGTTTATCGCGTCCGGGTTGCGAGTGATCGGTATCTGTTTGCCCGGCTTTAGAATACTGTCGACCGACGTCTGGCTAGTTTTGAATGAATCCGTCGTTTTGCGGACACGCTTTGGGGGGAGAGGGGGAGCTTTCTCGTCGTCGGTGTCGCGTTTTAATGGGGTGAACTCTATGATGGGACCGCGGTAGGTTTGAACTTGCACGTCCTCGTACGAGAGGTCGGGCTCGGTTATGGACACGGGGTTTTTGAACGCGAGCTGCAGGCTAGTGTAGGTGCCGGCGTCGTTGAAGTCCTCGAGATCGGTTTCGGAATCGTTAAGCGTGGTGACGTTTTCGAGACGCGTTCGATTTTCGGAATAAATCTCATCGAGTTCCGCGACCTGGTCGAGGAGATCGTTAAGGCTCTTCTCGTTAGTGTCTATGACCATAACGTCGGAGGTCTCGTTAATCTCTATAGTGGGGGGGTCGGGGGTGTCGCTGGTGGAGGACACCAGGTCCTGTTTCTCGGGGGTGTTATTGTTGCCGTCGGTGGGGGAATCGGGTAGGGAAGGGGTTTGGGCGGGAGGTGCGGGGGGCGCCGGAGGATCGGCCAGGAGGAGGGAGAACACGTTGAGATCGGGGAGAGGCTTTCGCGCAGTACCTTGGTATTCGGGTATATATTCGAAGGGTATTGCGTTGCTTCTCGCGTTGTCTGATGTCCTCTTCAATTGAAGGTATACCTGAAAGAGATTGTTTTGCTTTCTTAAAAGTAATTAAAATGTAGATAATAAAAAATATTATATGTATCCATGTATTGTTATTGCGAACATATTTCACATATCTTAACAGTGCTTGCATCATTTATAATACATATATGTATGTAAGGAAGTGCACGTTCTACGGCACATCAGATAAATACGAAAATAGACGTAGTTCAATGAAAGATATGATCAGGTCTACGCGTGTTCGATTGATGTATAAGCAGCATCTGATATAATAGCTTGGCATCGCGCCACCGTACCGTGGTCACATAAACCACTACTTTGAAGGGAAAATTTGGGATATTATTTTCCTTATTATTGCATAAAAACCAGTTAGATTAAAATAATTAAATGAAACGTAGTGTACCTTCTGATGACGAATATATTAAATATAAATAATTATACAATTACATACAAAAACAAATATGGATTATTAATTTGTTATTTGTAAGTAATGCATTCCTAAATCATACTCTTATGTCTTATTGTAATAAGACTTAAAGAAGAAGATAGTTGTCAAGATCGTGCGTTTCCCTTCTGCACAGGACTATTGTTTGTATAACGTTTTTATGTGTTCCTTTTTAAAGTATATTATAAAATGTACTTATAGTAAAAAAAAATTATAGATTATGTTTGTTTCAAAGCAATCTGTATACTTTTAGAATTTTTACAGATTAAAAACTTTATAGAAAACAGATATCAGTGATATAAGCGATCGCGTTTGATAGTAACAGAAATGGTGCCAAATACAAGGTTTGTTAAAAAATATTAATTTTCATGTCGAACGGTTTGAAAGTTACAGCGGTGTAGTACTGTTTTTTGGCAGGGCCGAGTTATGCCAGTTAACCTAACTTAAAAAAAGTTCCCGATTGTCATATAAAAGTAAGTATGAAAGTCGGGTGCGCGGTGCGTCTCACCCTCGTATCTCAGCAACACGATTGATACATCTAGGTATATCTAAAAGGCTTCATTAGACGACTATATGATTGTGTGAATGATGATGACGATATCCTACTCATCGATTTTGGTTACGGCGGCCATTTTCACTGAGGCTAGCCAACTGCAGGAGATATTATGCAGTGCCTGTACGCACAGACACAATATGCACGCTCACATTCCGTTGGGATGACAAATCAACACAACCGGTAAGACATCAGGTAGGAGATGGCACTGACCCGGGATTCGAATCCAGCACCTCCGAATATGTAGTGTATGCTAGCATCTAGACCACCGAGGCAAGGCAAGGCAAGTGTAGTAGTAATGTCGGTCGGTTGGTAGGTACCTGCACGTGGTGGCCGACGTGCGGGTCGCGGTAGGGCGGCGTGTGGAACACGATGGCGGTGAGCTTGTGCACGAGCACGATGTTGGCGTGCTCCTCCCACACCACGCGCTCGCCCTCCTTCTGGAAGAACACTATGGCGATGTCCTCGCGGGTCACCTGTGGGGACGGTTGCATTCTTCATATTGTATATATTATAGTATATGTGTATATATGTATGTATGTATTTATGCAAGTACATTGCCTACCATTTTACATATTGATTTATCTATCCTACGGTTGCCTGGAAGAGATCGCTTCTAGCGGTAAGGCAGCCTGCTGTGCATCTTTTTTTGTTATGTTTCACAGCTTTATTTATTTCTTGTGTGGTGTTCAATAGTGTTCATTATTATTATTATTAAGTAGCAACTTACGTCCTAAGTACGTTTTAACGGTTAATTTATTATATTATAGATAGAAAAGTAAAAATAAATCAATTACTATTTTACCTTGATTGATTTTGATGAAAATCATAAGATATAACAAATTTTTGTGTCCTTAACTTGAGTTGTAACTAACTGTATAACTGAATTGAGAGTTTGAACAAATGAGTTGTTCCCCATTTCACCCCTTGAAAATTTGGTATGGTCATAGCTGTTTATCCGGGTCAACACATAGGATACTTTTTACCGCGAGAAAATATATCATTTTTGAGAAAAAATACAAAAATTGCAATGTAAGAGTATTGTACTAATATGTAAAACCTAAGAATTTGGTTTTTGGTTATCTGAACGCGGGCGGAGCCACGGGCAATGCTAGTCTTAAATATATCATTATAAAAATGTAATTCTTCTCGTCCTAAATTACGTAAAATAAATCAACATTTGGTTCCAACGAAAAAAATTAAGAAGTTAAAGCATAAATCTGCTTCAATTGAACTCAAAAGTTAATCTTGCTATTTCCCATCTGTTGTAAGCTAAGTAAATGTAGAAAAAAATATGTGTTAAAAAAATAACTTGTTATACACTAAATAAATAATTTAGTCTGCTCTAAGCACAGAATAAAAAGCTATATTTAAAGATCATCTGTAGTATCTGCCTTATAGTGCAGAACTTATGAGCTATTATTGTTATTTATGTTTATTTTCAGTTAAAACTAAATGAATCATGTATCATTCAAGTGTCAGTCATTTAATATATGACTGCATGGACTGTGTTTATCAATGTGCATATCTTAAATATAATCAAGAATCCAGATTGTTTCCAGTCACGAACAAATGCGAGTGCTGGCCGATACGAGTATCGAATACCAAATATGTAGTGCATGATCGACTTCGCTCACGGAACATCGATACAATCACATCGCAACGTAACACAACAAGAACAAATATTGCACAGACATATTATCCATCTTTTTATTTTTTGCTCTTAACATAAAATTAAATTAAAAACCTTAAAAAATAATAATATAAATGTATTATTATATAAATTATATAATGTGAGCATAATATGAATTATAAATACATAATATTAAATAATTTATATTTTCTTTAATGTTTGCAATTAGAAAGAATGTAAGCATTTCAAAATGAGTATAAAACTGTTCCTCACGAGAAACGAGAGAATGAAAAAAAAACTTAATAAAAAAAAAAGATTAGTGAAAAAATCATCGAATTCCATTTAAGTATATCAGTATAAAAATTCCAAATGTAAAATTTGGTTTAATTGTTGTATCTCCTTATTTCCTCAACGTAACATTTATGATTTAATAACAAGTTTTATTGCAAGGATCAAATAAATAAACATACAAAAAATCTAAACGGAGGATATTTAAAGTCAAGGCCATCTAAATATATACCATAAAAAACAAAATAGTCCGTGAATTTTCAATATAAATTGTTACCAATTATATATGGATTGAGGGTTTCTTCCTCAACTAACCTTCTCACAGAGCAGGATCAGCTCGGTGCCACCCTTGCTGAAGTCGGAGCACTGGCTGAGCCTCATGATGGTGAGGTCACTCATCGCCTTCTTGTCGTATATGACGTCGGAGACCACCGGCTGCAGGGACTGCCGTATCTTGCCGGTCCTCTCGTCCGGGATGAACACTTGGAAGCAGAGCCTCACAGCGTTGAGATCTATGCTTTGCGGTTGGTTGCGGTGGTTGTAGCCCGCTGGAAACGAATATCATATATAAAATATAAGGGTCAACGATGAGTAGCAAAAAATATTCCAGATAGTAACTGGGTCAAGTTCAATAATAGATATTTAATAAAAAAGTTCCGCATTATTAAAAAACAACTGTTCCAGCCGGATATTGGTATGATTTATTTTCGGAACGACAACTAATTTGTATTAATGCACTGGTCGATACCAATGCTATAAAGTATATATATTATATACATCTAAGAAAAGAAAAGCAAATTAAAGGAAAGACTACTCTTGTATTCTTAACATAGATATTCAAATACAGATTAGGATATATAGGGTACGTTTCATTTACACGTTAATAATGCCGAAATTCTTGAACTTTTTGGATTGTTGATAATCTAGCTGTATAGCATTAAGTACACATATGTGTAAATATAGAATATTTTAAACAATAAATAAAAGATTTTATTAGATGACGCGACGTTAATAAGTACAACGTGTTGAAAAGATTAATTATTTTGTACATACTTACACACTCGTACCTACAGTAGTATTTAATATGACTACAAAGTATAAACCAATATGTATTAATAAAATTGTTTAGAAGCTAGAGCACTTTGTTTTGCACACTAAATATATGTGATTTTTTTCTACTGTGGCTTTAGCATATTATTTTAGTTTTTAACCTCCGACGCAAAAAGAGGGGTGTTATAAGTTTGACTGCTAAGTGCGTGTGTCTGTCTGTGGCACCGTAGCACTTAAACGGGTGAACCGATCTGGATGCGGTTTTTTTATTTGAAAGCAGGTTTTCTAGCGGTGGTTCTTAGACATGTGCTATCAAAACCGTTTTTGCACGGTAATGTTATATTAACATTAGCGTGGTTTTTGTGTTGGGCTATTTTCAATTTTAATTAAAATTTGATTATTACGACTGAAATATTCAATCAATAAGCAGAATGAAACTTTAAATAATGAGTTTTTTCTTCTTCTTTGTTTTCTTCTTAGTTATCATTTAGGTGTTGTAACCCGCTTAAAAATTCGCCTCACCTATTACTAAGTCAAATTGTTTTTCTTAGTAGTAAATAATTAAATTACGTGCATAGCTAAAAACATACACTATAATCACTGTATGCAGAATACAAAATTGTACAACGGTGTTCAACTTACGTGTCTCTACGTCATACGCCGAGAGCAGTCTCGGAGCGCGTCCAAACGACCGTTACCGAAATATTTGTCACTCGGCTGCCGGATCTTTTATAAATATTATTTTTACCAATATTTATATTTTACGGTTTGGTTTTGGACCAATGCGAATAGTTTAAGTCAAACATGTAAGTTGTTAGGTTCAATTCTAGATATGCTATTAGTTTTTAATATATCCACTTATTATTCAAGTCATTTTAAAATTTTAATTGTACCTAATCGCTTGCCTTGTTTTTTACTGTGTACATATAAGAATTGTTACTAAATAAATAAATTTCATTTCATTTAAATAAATAAAATTCTTTTCAATTTATAATATATAGGCAGTGATAGCCCAGTGGTACCTCTGATATTTTCATGAATCATATGTAACATGATTACCACTTGCCTTCGGTTAAGGAAAACCATCGTGAGAAAAACTGATGTCTGAGAGAACTTAGCAAGTTTTCGAAATACATGTGAAGTACGTTAAAAATAAATACTACTATTTCAATTTCATTTCAATTGTACCTAATGTGTACTTTTTAATAAATCAAATATTATATTAGGTACAATAAGTCATCAAAAAACGAAGAATTCTTTATTTTTTGGTAAATTACATAAGTAATATTATATAGAAATGACGATTTGTTACACATAATAAATAACGATTTGTCATCGTAAATGATTTAGCATACATAAATGACTCTTTATAATTTTATTATTTACGTTTGGCACAGTGATCATTACTTCAGCGGATATGAGTAAAAACTATTTCTACTTTGTATATTGGATTTGCTTTGTATTATCAGACTATATTTTGTACGTCTGACAATTTAATAAAATCTCCATAGCTACTCAGTTTGGATTCAGTTCTGTCTTAACATGATAAAAAAATGAAACTTTGTGAAAGTTAGATGTTATAATAGTGCATTTATTAAAAATATATGTATTTAAGTTCCATTTTAATCATTTGATGTCAATCAAGGATAAAGGGTTCGACCGCTGAAACAAAGACCCCTGTTCGATGCACTCGACAGAACATAAAAAAGCATTTTTTTTAGTTTTTCCTTACTTATTGTATGCAAGAGCCATTGTAGACAAACCTATAGTATTTTGCACGGCGTCAAAATAGCGGTTAGCCCACAAGCTGACCGTGTTAGAGGATATTTCGAGCGAGCTATTTCAGACGCTTCGCCCGACGCTGGTTACTTTCGCAATCGACGTTCATACATTATTAATGTTAAGATTTGTAGGTTAATATTGATGAGGAATTAATTAATTGGCTTTTAGATCACGCATCAGATGTTTAATGCATTCGAGTTTCAATCGGTTATTAATTTCAATCTAATTTCGTCTTTGTGAAAGAATTCAAAGTTGCCAAGTTTTTTCGTTAAAAATATAATAATTTTAATACATTTCCTTTCTTTTGGATCACAGGTTTGTGCTTTTTCATATAACCGGTTAATGAAAAAAAATATCTATAATAATAAGTCCGGGAGAGATTTATTCCAGAATAAATATGTTGGGACATTAGCACACAGCACTATCTAGTTCCAGCTACGAGGCTTGTGTTATGGATACTAGATAGTTGATACACTACACATATATACCTTTAAATACATACACGATAATGTCATAAATATAAACACATATGATTGAAGTACAAACATTCGTGCTTATCACACGAATTAATGCCTCCAACGCGACTCGAATCAGCGGCCGCTAGCACAGCAAGTAGCAACTACAAACTGAGCCAAATGTGTCGTCAGATTCTAGATGAATTAATAAGCGATTCGTAGCGTATCTTATAGTACTAATAATATATCTCGTAAACCAACAAGGCCTGTCTGTTCTCTCAATAGGTTTCAGTGTTCTCATAAAATAATGTTTGAAAATTGAAATAAACGAAATGACTACAATGCTTCAAATCTTCTACAGCTTATAAACTTTACTCTTATCTATACTAATATTATAAAAAAATAAAGTTTGTAAGTTTGTGAGATTGTGAGTTTAAAGTTGTAGGGGGTAATCTCTGGATGTACTGAACCGATTTAGATGAAATTTTGTAAGAAGATAGTTTGAGACCCTGGGAAGGACATAGGATTTTTTTAGGATTAGGATTTTTATCCCGAAAATAATCCGTTAAATGGGTTAAAATGGGGAAGAAATTATAACTAAATGGAAAATAACTATTCCAAAAGTGGTAAAGATTTTTCTGGTGTCTGTGTGTCACTACATATTCAAATTGGTGTTCTTAATACAGCCTTAAAAGATTGAATAATCCAATACCTAACATAACATACAAATAAAATCTAACACTATTTGAAGTAAGCGGGTGTTAAAAGTTAAAACAAAGCAAGGTCATGTTGTCAGTTAGATGTGATATTGTTGACGATAATTTACCAAATGAATCTTAAACTAATAAATAGACTAGATAATACATATTATGTCGGTAATTGGTTTAAAAATTTGAAGTTTCGATTTTAATTTTTAATCGTTTGACAACACGTTTGGCTCAGTTTGCAGTGACCCTACTAGGTGTGCCAGCGGTCGCGGGTTCGAATCCCACTGGGGGCATTCAATTGTGTGATGAGCACGAATGTTCGTACTCCAGTCATGGCTGTTTATATTTAGTATTTAAAGTTTTAAGCGTAGTGTATCAACTATTTGGTATCCATAACACAAGCCTCGTAGCTTACCACGGAACTAGATGGTGATGTGTATAATGTCCCGACATAAGAAATCTGACAAATTTGAAAATCACTTTGACAAATAAATATAAATACAATATTAGGCACGATTTTCCTTGTCTACCCCGTGAAAGTGTATTAATTATATCGGTAATTAAATATATAATAATAATTATATATTATATATAATAATAATTAATATCGGTAAATAAATATACATGTTATAGTTACAGGATAATTATGTTTATAAAGCTATAGAGTAACAGATATTAAAAAAAAAATATAGAAAAACTCGCCAAATGACAGCGCTTGGCAGCGTGCCATAGACTATATTCCGTGTATTCATTTTATAATAGACATGTACAATGTGTCACGAATTATATTTTACCTACTTGATATTAAATAGCAAAAAATTTAAAATAGCCCTTTGTTTATTATTCGTATGAGATAATGATGACCTGATGATGGTGTTAATTTATGAGGTCTAATGATGATAACAATAGAATTAATTATTTGCAAGAGAGAATGTTTCATTTATTGGTCACAAAACATCAAACAGTATGAGAGTGTATGTTTGTTATTTCTACACGCTGTAACTGATACTCGGTATATTGGGAACAATAAAATTCCGGATATTATGAGTAAAGTCGCTAGAAAAAATTAGCTAAAATAAAATTTGAGAAACAATCTTCTATCTATACTAATATTATAAAGAGGAAAGATTTTTGTTTGTTTTTACCGAATAAGCTCCGAAATTACTGAACCGATTTAGATGAAATTTGGTAAAAAAGGAAAGGACATAGGAAAGTTTCCATGCCAGAAATCATTCCTTAACGGGTTGAAAATGGGGATGAAAATTTGTATAGGGAAGCAAACTAGGGACGAACCTGAGCGAAGCGATGGTAGGTTTATATATAAAAGCGATATTATACCACTCATACAAGACACAAAGTATATAATATGATATAATCCTGAAATTTGGCATATTCCTCATAGACTTTTCGCTAAGAAAGGATTTATGAAATTAGAAGCAGAATAGTTTTGCATACACAACTAGAACAAAGTTATGGCGTGACGCTACAAATAAAATATAATAATAACTCACTCTTAAAGGGGTCCACCCGTAACTTCTCCCTGGTTTTGAGCGCGTCGGTGATGTCTTTCCGCTTGACGCATTGTATGCCGAGGTTGCTGAAGGAAACCTGCGGGTTCTCGTCTGTGATGGTGGTCTTCAGCGTGCACACGCCGTTCTCGCAACGCTCTCTACCGACTAGGTTGTGGGGGTGAGGTCTGATAAACGGACAAAGAGTTATGAAATAGATAAGTTCTCTATATTTTTGTTGTAGTTTTACTAAAACTGGCCTACATATTTGCAATATTAGTTTTGACTTTTCAATTAATATTTAGTATTGAAAATATTATAAAAAAACATTTTTAAATACAAAACATTATGGCGTATACTTAATAATAGTATTGAAGCTAATTCAAATTCAATATTTAAGGGATACATGAGTCAAGGCTCTATTTTATTACGCGAGTGTTACGTGTTAAATGTTTGATGGGTGAGTCAAGCTTTGCATTTCAGGAGCGAACCATTCAGTTTATTTCGTAACCTAAACATTTGTTTACCAAACTCCATTCGAGGGAACGTTCTGTTTTCGTAATCAAATCAAAAACTTAAATGTGAAAGGAAGCCAAGTTTTTCGCTAATAAAAGAAGTGAAATCTAACTGGATAAAAAGTTCCAAGTTCCTTAAATCATACCTCCTAGCTTGTAGAACATTCTTCTGTTGCTTTACAGTTTATCTGGTTCACTTAAATGATTAAAAAATCGCAAGGAATAAATTTAAATTAAAAAGTTAACTTACTTGAAAGGTTCGTCCCTCGTCACGCAGGATACTACGATGACGACTTGGCCCTTGTGGCCGCATATCTCTATCGTGGGATACGTCTTCCGCTCCGGCGTACTGTTCACGCCGGGTATCGAACCCGCTGACCGGCCTTCGCATTCGTATCGAAACCTGATGGACATGTTTCATACGTCAGTAATGTAAGTACTGTAAGAATTTGTATAAACAATGGCCTTTATACGTATAAAATGAAAAACTGCGAGTTAATAGATTACATAAATCATTATACTTATTCAATTTATATTGTTCGATTAATGATTCCACAATTCCACTTATTCGTTGCTTTCAAAGATGTTTTTTTAATCAATTTATGATGTAAATTATAAATACATAGTTGTTATTGGAATGGGCATTAGTGAGATGATTTGTGCGCTCTCCAATATTTAGAAGACCAAAAACAAACCTAGATAATGATGATGATGATGAATGATTTATACATTGGTCAATAATAATATTATCTTTAGCACTCTCACACCCTTTTCGGCGAGATCTATTCTAAGATTTACGAATTTATCTAATTTACCTAAGCTTTAATTTCCTAAATTCAAAATATTTTATTCACCATAAAATTATTACAATTTTTACTGGACTTCATGATTCTAGTACCAGTTCGGAAAGAAGAAACCTCAGACCTGGGCCCATATACGGCAAAAACTTGGCTTGGATTTCTCTTCTGTGGGTCATTTTTTCAAATCACATATAAACTTGTTATTCATTATCCACGCCTACTTGCGAAATTCACTCTACTTGCATCGATGTAGTCTGTAGAATATCCATTGCACTGTAGGGGCATGCTATAAGAGTAAACAATGATAGCGCTCGTATCGCCTGGCATTATTTTACTCTAATTACACATTGTAATTGTTTTTTATTCATTATTTATTAACTTCCTCAGTTTTTCCTGTATGCGATGCACATTGAAAGAAAATTAGTTTAATAAGTGTTGTGCAAGACTAAACAGTTGATTATTATGTTATGATATGAGGAAAGTTAGGCGCAAAAGCATTTAACTGAAGTAGAATTTAATGAGGGGCGAGGATTTGATTACCGATTTAAGTATGTATAAGTAAGTCTACAGTAAATCAATCAATACAAATATATTTTATACTAGCATTGCTCGCGGTTAGGTTTACTTAGGTTTTACATATTAGTATACTCTTACAATGAATTTTTGCATTTTTTCTAAGAAATGAGATATTTTCCCGCGGTAAAAAGTATCCTATATGTTGACCGGGATAACCAGCTACCATCATACTAAATATCATCAACATCTGTCCAGTGGATTTCTCGTGATGCGGTAACAGACAGACAGATAGACAGATAGACAGACAGACAGACAAAAATTCTAAAAACTATAGATTCGGACTCTGTATCGATAATAACGTCTATTTCAATTAGATTTTCCAAAAAATATTTAATGTACAGTTTCGACTTAGTTACAATTTTATTATATGTATAGATAAAAAAGGCTTTTTACAACGAAATTGGAAGTTTATCTATAATAGATGGCAAAGAAGTTAGATTTTAGACATTATTTTGCTATTTTTTTTTGTTTGAAAATAAATTAGCAATACTGGGAGCCGTTCGTAAAATCAAAGTGTTACAGATACTATCCACGCGTCAGTTGGGTGGACAATGTACAGTTGGCGTGACGCAATGAGACGTCACGTCTAAATCCGATTCTAAAGAGCAAGTACACGGCGACGTTACGTCATGTCTCATCTCCATTGCCATTAGTTTGCGACAAACTTTTAATTCATAACATAAAGCATTATATTCGTGATCAGCACATGTTCGACCGACATGTGCAGTGTTAGTTTGATATATGTAGTTCATTATTTTGAGGCCGTAGTATGAGTATTGTATATACTTTATGACATAGAGTCTATGTAGATGCTTTACTAATAGTTGGAGATAATAGAACAAATGAAAAGAAAATATAAATTAAAAATAAAAAAATCCCGTACGAGTTGAGAGTATCGGTAATATGAAATTCCAAAAAAAGATGCCGGTTTGATGCCAGAACATTGTTAATATAAAATCGTGGCGTGGCGTAAAATCGTAGGAAAAGAAGAAAACGCTTACTTAAAAAGTTAAAAAACTCGTACGTTGGGGTCTTCCTATATACAGGGCCGGCTTTAAATAGAATGGAGGTTCCTAATAATTAATACTGCAAAGAAAAACATTGTTTTGGCATTCTCTTTTTTAATAAAAAAGATTAATTTAGATCATCTACAAATACTTGTTGTGAAAAGGTCTTTGACGAAATCTGAATATGTCTATACTGTAAGATTATTCTACAATGGACAAAAATTACAAATCAATACATACAGTACTATTTACAGGATTTAAAGCATAGTTAATGCTTACCTTAAAGCTTTCCCAGCTGGCTGCTCTACTATGCGTACGTACGCTTGCCCCGGATGGGGCGCCGGGCGCGGCATCTCTACGCCCGTGCCGTACAACGGGTCCTTGCAGATCGCTTCGACTGGACACAAAATAATAACACGTCATATAAAATGCTAGTCAAACAACTGTGAAATTGTAAAGATTTATTAATTTATATTTATAGGTAATGCAGCCAGCCATTTTAATAACAAAAGATTACGAAAACGATTAAAATATTCGGAGAATATTGTTTAGCTTGTACTTAATTATAGTTAAAATGGTTAATTTAGTAAACACTTATGTTATTTTAATACATTTTAAGTAATTACATATAAGTAATTGAAGCACAAAATACCAAACAAAATAGCATTTATATCTTACGTATAATATAACTTAGTGGTTATCAAATATAATAAGTCTACAATGGAACAACTGAAAAGTAATACCAACTAACATTAATCTGAATTACGGTTAATAAAACAGGTCTTAAAAACATTTAACTCAGTATGGTTTAAAGATAACTATAGACATGTCTAGTTTTACTATACTTATCTTTAGCTAAATGTCGGCGACGGAAAACTTATCTTCGAGTAACGTGTGTATTAATATAGGGACAATGTCATTTTAGCGTATTATGAATAATTGTTGTAAATATGAAATCTCATTCTTATTAGATTTATTATGTTAAAATAAGTTCTAATTAGTGTAATAAGGTTAGTTTAGAGTATTTTTTGCTTATTTGAATCATATAAGACTATTTAACATTAATTTGAAAGGAATAGGTACGTAAGTAAAATGTTAGCATATAATTACGTAACTTGAAAATGAGATTTTTTGTTTCTTGCAATAGCATAATAGTTTATGTTTTAAATAATAGATTTTATTATAAAACTTATAATAAAACAAGAATTAGGTCGATAGGACTATCCGTTCAAAAGTTATAAGGGAAAATGTATAGTAAAAATGTAGCAACTTAGAAATTTAGATATTTTTGTTTTAAGACTTTTTTAATTAATTATTATATATTGAATATTATGTTTTAATATTGTATAATAGTATGTAAGGCATGTAAATAAATAAATATGTGTAAGGTGTTTTACTGAAAACATAAAATAAAAGGACTCTCAAGGTTTCGGTTTAGGGAAATTTTATTCGAAAAATGAGCTCAAAGTACGCGGCTCTCTGTAAGGTATTAACGGGCCAAATAAAAGGCGAGCCATTTCTCGATTCGAGTCAGTCGCAAGACAGCCACCGAAGAGGCAACAACTAAAAGGAAAAGGAAGAACCGAAACCAAGAGAGAAAAAAGGAAAAATTGTGTTTTATTTCATCGCCTCTAAGTATAGTCTCCTGTCAACGAAGAAACCCTAGTGGATCGGGACCCAAGCTACGCATTCAGGGGTGCGTGGTGGCGTACATTACCAGCGAACGGACATACTGCCGTGTACGCCAAGAACGTCTGGGAGATTGTCCCAGGTCGACCTCCGGGTACTAGACATACCCTGGTTCTGGTCGTCCGAAACAGTTGGTCCTTCGAGCCGGATCCCTGCTAGAAGAAGTTCAGAAGAAACAGAAGATTGCGTTCAAGATGCCGGTAACCAGGTCGCAGAAGGATGCCCCCTCACGTCCCGGGTCCCGTCCTTCAGATAGGGACGCGACAGATGGAACGTCGGGATCAGAAGGGGTCACGTCAGCGTCGGCGTCATCGGGAACTGCAACTACATCGAACACTTCTTCGGGTACCACGACCACGGAGGGCACCACAGTGACGGAGACTACGGTTACGACTGCAACTACGGCGGCGTCTATGGAAGGCAACAAAGAAGATGCTGCACAGAGGATGACCAGGAAGAGCCAAGAAGATGTACCTGGAAAGGATGTTCAAGGCTCCTCCAAGACCCTGAAACCGATGGGGGTCAGTCGTCGCGCCAGGTCCACGAAGACCACGAGTTCCTCGGCCAGAAGACGCGAGCTAGAAGCAAAGGAAGAGTTGGCACGCCTGGAGTTGAAGCAAGCACAGGCTGAAACTAAGCTAGCCCGTGTCAGATTGGAGATGGCACAGTGTGAAGAAGAGGACTCCGTGGATGAAGACCTGGAAGACAGAACAGCACAGGTGCAGAACTGGATCGAGACGTCTGTGCTGGAGGATGGCAACAAAGTTCAACCAGAGATGCGAGGTCCACACCCCTTGGAAGAGCCACAGAAGATGAAGCCTGAAGAGAACTCCTCAACGAGAGGAACTACGATTGAAATTCAAGCACTGACGGCAGCATTGAAGGAAGCTCTTACCACGCGAGGACCAGCAGGACAGCCAACCTACATTCACGAGTTACCATACTTCGACGGCAACAGCAGCGAGTGGATGGCCTTCAAGGTTGTCTATGAAGATACAGCACCGATGTTCAACAACGTCCAGAATATGGCTCGGCTAAGAAGAGCACTGAAGGGCAACGCAAGAGAAGCTATCAAGAGTCTGCTGTACTCCGAAGCCTCTCCAATGGAAGTGATTCAAGCCCTCAGAAGAAGATATGGAAGACCAGATGCACTGGTGCTGGCAGAGTTGGACAAGGTCAAAACGTTGCCGAAGATTTCTGAAAACCCAAGGGACATATGCCTCTTCGCGAGCCAGATCAGCAACAGCGTAGCGGCAATAAAAGGATTGAAGAAACCACAGTACCTGCATTCACCTGAGATGGTGAAACAAATTATTGAGAAGATGCCTACGATCCTCAAGTTCCGATGGTACGACTTCATTGAAACAACAGAAGAAGGCGAGTTCTCCGACCTAACACTGGTGTCCAAGTTCCTGAACAGAGAAGCAGACAAGTGTGGAGCCTATGCATCAACAGAAGAGAAGAGCGGGTTCAGACGGACTCATCGACAAGCAACGCATTCAACTAAGGAAAAGGACTTCAAAGAAAAGGTTTCAAGATCAGAGAAGACTTGCCCCATGTGTGAGGGTGAACACTTCCTCGTCGGGTGTCAGAAGTTCCTGAAGGCGTCTGTGCAAGATCGATGGGCAATAGTGAAGAAAAGCCGCGTTTGCTTCAAGTGTTTACAAGGGACACATCGGAAGGAGAGCTGCAAGAAGCCGTCGTGCAAGGAATGCAAGAGGTGGCATCATCATCTGCTGCACGTCGAGACAGAGAAAAGTTCCTCGGAAGAACAGAAGAACAAACCACAAGAAGTGGCGAGCATCATGGCATCTGTGAATGCGATCAACAACGCAAGGGCATACCTGAAGATAATTCCGATAGAAATCTTCGGGTCAAAAGGATCAAAGAAGATATTGGCCCTCATGGATGAAGGGTCAACAGTGTCGCTGCTAGACCATAAGGTAGCAGAAGAAATCGGCGCTCAAGGAAGAAAGGAGGAACTGGTCATCGAGACTGTTGGAGGCAGGCTGATAAGGAAGGAAGACTCTCAGATGCTGGACCTTACGGTGAAGGGGATTCATCAGAAGACCAAGAAGACCTTGAGAAGAGTCCGGACCATCGACGAGTTGAAGCTTGCACCGCAGTTCCTAGAAAAGAAAAGGATAGAAGAACGTCAACACTTGAAGAAGATTGCTGACTCTCTATATTATAAGGGGGAGTCACCACAGCTGCTCATTGGTCAAGACAACTGGGAGCTAATCGTGACTCAAGAAGTAAGAAGAGGGAAACCAGGACAACCAGTCGCTTCAAGAACAGGACTTGGATGGGTGCTCCACGGGTCAGACACTGGAGGCGCGAAAGTGGTGCACTTCTTAAACACGTGTCTACATGTCAGCACGCCAGAAGAAGAGATGCATCAAGCCATCAAGGATCACTTCGCAATCGAAGCACTTGGAGTATTACCAAGAAGACCCACTACGGATTCAGAAGGAAGAGCACTCACCATCCTAGAGAAGACCTGCAGAAGACTAGAAGATGGTCGATTTGAAGCTGGACTTCTATGGAAAAATGAAGATGAACAGATGCCTGAAAGCTACACGTCTGCCAAGAACCGATTGTTCAACATTGAAAAGAAGATAGACAAAGACCCTCAGCTGAAGGCAGAATACAATAAGCAGATCCAGCATCTAATCGACAGCAAGTATGCAGAAGAAGCACCTGGTGGACAAAAAGATTCAAAGAAGACATGGTACCTCCCTCATTTCTCCGTGGTACATCCATTGAAGAAGAAAATAAGAATCGTCTTCGACGCTGCAGCCAAGTCTAAAGGGAGAAGCCTCAACGACGCTTTACTACCGGGACCAGACCTACTGCAATCGCTCTTCGGGGTATTACTGAGGTTCCGGCAAGGCCCGTTTGCAGTGGCAGCCGACATAAAGGAAATGTTCCTGCAAGTTCGCATCCGGCCAGAAGATAGAAACAGCTTGAAGTTCCTGTGGCGAGGGGATCGTCGTGACGTAGCACCGAAGGAGTACAGAATGACATCAGTCATCTTCGGCGCGACATCATCTCCTAGCACAGCGATCTACGTGAAGAACCGGAACGCGGCGGACTACAAGAAGCAGTACCCAGAGGCAGCAAAGGCAATCGAGCTGAACCATTACATGGATGACTACCTGCACAGCTTCCATTCAGAAGAGGACTTCAAGAGAATTACAGCGCAGGTGGACTTCATTCACAAAAAGGCGGGCTTCGAACTCCAAGGATGGGCGTCAAACCACTCCGACCTGCTGCAAGACGTGAAGACTGAGTCAGTTGAGAAGACAGAGGTGGACCTTGGTGAGAAGGAAGAGAAGACACTGGGACTACGCTGGTTTACAGAAAGGGACTCCATAGGCTTTAGGGCGAACCTTCGGAACACGCCAGATGAAGTGGCACAAGGACTCAAGGTACCTACGAAGAGAGAAGTCACCAGCGCCGTGATGTCGACCTTCGATTCACTAGGGCTAGCATCACCAATTCTCATCCAAGGCAAAAGGCTGCTCCAGAACATATGGCGAAGTGGCGTCGGTTGGGTTGAAGAGATAGAAGAAAAGGAGTACGAGTCATGGAAGACTTACCTGGAGAAGATGAAGCTGCTCCAAGACCTTCAGATCCCGAGATGTCTGGCACCACGTCGCACCGAGGGGGAGCTGCACACGTTCACGGATGCAAGCGAAATGGCGT